CCTCAGGATACCTAGTAAGAATAGTGTTAGGAGAATAAGGTAAATGTATCCACATTAATGGACCTTCTTGCCAAAATACTCCTGTAGGAATATTTTTTGTTGGTAGTACAATAAATAATAAAGGCAAACTTATATCAATTCTATCCAAATGTATGTTTTCCATATATGTTTCAATAATTTTTAATGCCTTTCTTGCTTTAGGAGTTAACATGCGGGGTGAATTTGGATCTGATGGACCTTTTAGAATATCAAATAAAGGTCCCAACTCTCCTGTTGGTATACCTAGATAAGGCCTTATCCAATTTATGTCTCCCAATAACTTTTGAAAGTCGTTAAGTGATTTGAGTTGATCTACTCGTATTTGAATTTTTGGTGGACGGACCATGGTTGAGGATAATAGAACTCCTAAATAATTAATTGGAAAATTTAATTGTACTTTATCTATTGCTATCTCTAGATTATAATTTTTTAATAAGTTTGTAAGTGTGGCATAACATTCCAGCAATATGTTTTTATCTTTATGTGCCAATAATACATCATCCATATAGTGAAATATTTGTAGTTCAGGATTTTGATTTCTAAGTGGCTGGATTGCTTTGTTAACATATATTTGACACATAGTTGGACTGTTAGCCATCCCTTGAGGGAGTACTTTCCATTCATATCTCTGATCAGGACCTTCATGATTTAATGCAGGGATAGTAAATGCAAAACGTGGACTATCCTCGGGATGAATTGGAATTGAAAAAAAACAATCTTTAATATCTATAGCTAAAACATGCCAGGTTTTTGGCAAAGCAGACAATTGAGGAATCCCTGATTGAGCAGGTCCCATAACAACCATCTCATTATTAATGGCTCTTAAATCTTGCAACAATCTCCATTTACCAGATTTCTTTTTGATGACAAAAATGGGAGTATTATGGGGAGATATGGAAGGTTGTATATGTCCTTCCGTTAATTGTTGTTTGACCAGATCATGGGCTACTTGTATCTTTTCTTTAGTCAGGGGCCACTGAGGAACCCACACTGGTCTTTCTGATTTCCAAGTAATTTTGATTGTCTCAGTGGCCCTTTCTGAAAATCCAACCCATGTCTGTCTGTTCCTTGATCTATTTGTACTGGTGCTGCTATACCTTGCCCTTGTTTTCCTAATCTTTTTTCTTTCCTAAAGCCTTGTCTAGCTCTAGTAGTGGGCACATTAGGATTGATATTATTTGTTAACGTCAAACCTAATTGATCTAGGACATCTCGTCCCCATAAATTTATAGGAAGATGATCCAATACATATGGCTGTATAGTTCCTTCACATCCTTCAGGATCCTTCCAATCTAATATCATAGAACTTCTATGGGGATTAGTCGCCACTCCTAGGCCTCGAAGCGTTTGAGTGGCTTGTTGTAATGGCCAATGTTTTGGCCATTCTTGACGAGATATTATGCTAAGGTCAGCTCCTGTGTCCAGTAGCCCATTAAACTCATGACCTTGAATATTTAGTTTTAGCATTGGGCGAGAATCTAAATTTAAAGACAACATAGCCCAATCTACACCTGTGGAGCCTAATCCCCTGGAACCTCTTTCTACACTATGACTAGGAAATTTATTATGTAGGCTGGGTATTATTAACAACTGTGCTATTCTATCTCCAGGTGAAATTACTGATATACCTCTTGGAGAACTAGCTATAATTTTTATTTCACCTACATAATCAGGATCAATTACCCCAGGACTTATCATAAGTCCTTTTAATGTAGATGAACTACGTCCCAGTAATAAGCCTACTGTTCCTTGGGGAAGAGGTCCTTTTACTCCTGTGGGAATGATTTGAACTCCCATCTCTGGAGTTAATACTGCTCTGGCAGAGGCACAGATGTCCAACCCTGCGCTCCCTCGGGTTTGTCTGATGAGGGATTTAATGGACAATGTGTCCTGGGCACTACCCTGATGGTGTTGCTGGGATCCTCCACTGCCCCGTATATTTGTGGTTGTGGGCCCCGGAGCATTGGGCCCCCCTGTCCGTTTTTTGGCAATGGAGCCTGATGCCTTTCTCCACGATATCTTGGATAAATACCTGGTCTTTGTCCGTTTTTTGATAAGGGAGTACCTTCTATGGTGGTTTGAGAACGGCATTCATTAGCCCAATGTCTCCCTCTACGGCATCGTGGGCAAATACCCGGTATTCTATTCCTTTGATACCTACTTTTGTTAAACCCTCCTCTTATGGGGCAATTCCTTTTAAAATGTCCTGTTTGTTCACAATCATAGCATGTTTTTGGCCTGGCATCTAAAGCCTGTTGTACTGCAGCTGCCAAGACTTGCCCTTGTTCATTAATATCTCTACATAATTTAATATATGTGTTTAAATCTTCATGTCTCCATGGTCTAATAACCTCTCTGCAGCAACGATTTGCTTGGTCATAAGCCAGTTGTTTTATTAATGGCATTGCTTGTTCTGTATCCCCAAAAATTTTGGCAGCCGTTTGAATTAGCCTATCTACAAAGTCAGCGTAAGGTTCATTAGCTCTCTGTATTACCTTAGATAGCTGACCTTGTAAATCTCCATGTCCTTGTAAAGTCTTCCATGCCCTAACTGCGTCTGCAGCAATTTGTGCATATATAGCAGGATCATATTCAATTTGTTGCCGTTGACCCTCATAAGGTCCTTTTCCTAACAACATATCTAGATTTCTTTGAGGGTAACCGGCTGCTGCATTTCGCCTAGCTGTCTCCGCACAAAATTCCTCATTGGCAACCTTCCATAACAAATATTGTCCTCCATTTAGTACAGATTTACACATGCTAGCCCAATCTGCTGGCGTCATGTCCAAGTTAGTAATGGACTCGACCATGCTTACCGTGAAGGGAGCTTGGGGCCCGTAGGTTGTTACAGCCTCCTTTAACTGCTTCACTGTTTTAAAATCTAAAGCACGGTGAATTCGCTGCCCTCCTGCCTGTTCAAGTACAGGGCATGCTAATCTTTGAGGTCCTGTCTCAGGATCCCATTTATCAACTACGGGGTTTGAGGGCCACTCAGCTGTCTCCATCGGTGGGGCTGTTGGTTGAATTCTAAAATGTCTTTCTCCATGGTCTGAACCTCTAACAATTTACTTAACATCTTTTCGGTTTGTTTTTTACTAATTTCTAATCTAACAGCCTCCTGTTGTGGCCTTTTTACTATAAAGATAACGCAACCCAATAAGATAGCACAAAACAAAGCCGAAACTGAATGAAACAAAAACGGAATAAAAAATCGTTGTATCAATTTTCTCTTCCTCAGGGCCGACAAACTTCAAACCTTTAGTCAACCATTTTTTCCAGTTTGCCTGAGAAATTTCTAGGGATAGGCAGCTTGAAACAAAAACAAGATAAATCAAAACAATAACACATTGTTTTTTGAGTTGGTCACCCATTCTTTCGCTCTTCCTCAGGGGCGAGCAATTTCACTTACCTCCAAGCTTCAGAAGTTCCCCGTACAAGCCACCAAATGCCACAGTCTGGCTGGGCACAAATGCCGCAGTCTGGCTGGGCACACAATCACGAGCCACCACACAGCTTGTAGATTCAAACAGCAACTCTTTATTCCCGAACTCACACCAGCCGTCTACAATCACGTTCTGGGGAAATCCACGTTCTCTTCCCAAATCCTCCTTCTCTCCCAAATTCACCTCCACTGGGCTTCTATCTCCAAAATATACTGTCTGAATCCCGTGAGAACTCAAGGGGAACTCAGGCAGCAGGATACGCCCTATTCCCAGCAGGAATAATCTTAAACCTTAAACCTGGAACCTAAACTGGGAACGCCCTAAACAAGATTATCTTAAAACCGGGAACACCCTAATCTGCCTTGGTCCTTGAGCAAGGTTAAGTACATTCAATGTCACTGCAACATGGGGTATGCTGGCAAGGAAATTGTCATACTTACTTGGCTAATGGCTCCCAGCAGAACAGGGCAGGACAGAAGACAGACGTTTGGCCAAGTTTTGTTGGTTGCATGGATGACGGACGTTGGACCAATTTGAAGATGGATGTGTGGAGGGGCAGGTGGATGACCATAAAGAAGGGTGGATGGGTGGGTGAGCTGATAGGGGATAGAGGGATGGGGGAAGGGAGGGAAGGAGGAACGGATACTAGATGGAGGGAGGGGTGGCTGGGGGCGCTGACGGCTATACCAGGCGTTGTGTTGGGGAGATCATTTGATGTGGGGGAGGCTCCAGGAAGGGATGGGTCAACAGGGAAGTAGGCCATCTGAGGAATGGGGGACAGGAGGGCAGGGACAGCTGGGTCAGTGTGCGACGGGAGTTGGTGAATGAGGGGAGGGTGGAAGGATGGGGGAGGCAGGGATGAGGGATGGGGCAGTGGGCGGCTGACGCCTGGGCAATAATGGGTACGTCTAAGATGAGGCTTTGGCTGGACAGGTCTGCAGCTGGACCATCGCCCTTCTGCCCCTCACCTGCACCTGCTGCCCTTGATCCTGAAGGATCACATGTGTCTTCAGTCCCCAGCTGCTGAGCTCCACCTCCACGTGGTACAAGGACACACACTGACCGCACAAGCTCCTATTGGCAGCCTCCACACTGGAGGAGAAGCCCCCAGCAGTGCGTGTGGCCCTCAAGAATGGACCAGATCATAGGTGCAGGTACCTGGGACGTGGGCTATGGCCCCATTGAAGGTGAGGTAGCCAGGGTCTCCGATGGTCACGCAGGTATCCCAGGGGCTCTGGCAGCCCACTCACCCACCCCACAGACCACAGATCTCCCCAACAGGACCGTGGGCTGGGCTGCAGGGGCAGGGGCCACGTCTGTCACAGCTGCAGCTACAGGTGCACTGGTGCAGCCAGGTCGCTCTCCCAACTCAGACTGGCATCTTCTGCCTGCGCACAGACTTGAACTGGCAGACCTGGGGTCCACCATGCGGCCAGCGCAATAGTTTCATTAATGAGGTTCTTGGCATAAAAGTTAGCTAGAAGAGATCAAAATAAAACACACAGACTCAGTTACCTTATTTCTATTGCCAGGTCCGAGACGGCTCCCCTCTCTGGTTCCCTCCTCTAACCGCCCAGCAGGGCAGCAAGGATTACTCAGGGCTAGCAGGAGAGAGGGAGAGTGAACACGCCTGGGAGTAGCTTTTTATTGGGGAACAAGAGATTCAGGGGAGAATTCCATCCAATGAAGGTTGAGGGGGGACTGCACTCCAAGGTCAGGGTCAGTGATTGGGCCCCCCGGGGTCAGTGGTCAGTCACACCCCCACACGGATGGGTTCTCTCATCAGGAAAGGGCCGGGAAAGTTCCGACACAGCCAGAAGCCTCAGACCCTTAACGGGAGCTGCCCAGCCCAGTCACGTGTCAGAATGGCTCCCCACACTGGGGGTGGGTCCAAAACAGCCGAGGCGGAGGGCTGCTTAGCTTGGGGCTGGGCAAGAACGCAGGGATGCTCAACAACAACAGCGGGCTGGACCCTGTGGTCACCTCCTTGCCGAGAAGGCAGCAAACTTGTGAAGACCATTTTCCTTCCGCAGAAAGCACAGCCCGGTGGTGAAGGGTCCAGACCTGGCTCTGTCCCCGGAGGGCTCTGGGCATGCTGCAGCCTCAGTTTCCTCTCTCTCTCCAATCGGGCAATGAGCACTGTGTTGAGGGCCAGTGTGATCATGTGTGGGAGGCGCTCAGCAGCCGCCAGCCCACAGCAAGCACGCCCTTGACTTACGTCAGCTGATACTGTGGCGAATGTGCTGGCCCAGTGCCTGGCTCAGGATGAGCTCTCCGAAAATATGACTTGTTACTATGGTGACAGAATCATACACGTAGTAAGTGACCAAAAATGTTTGCTGCTATTATCATTATATAATATATGTGTGTGTGTGTGTGTGTGTGTATAATGATTATTACAGAAACATAATATATGCCCAGGACATACTGAGCATTATTATTCTTATCATTATCATTTAATATGCTTACACACAGCAAATGCCCACCATGCATTATTATTATTTTTATTATTATTATTATTACTTTAACTACTATTAAAATACTTAGCCTGGACATGGATACCAACTAAAGGCCCAATACATTTTAATTAGTAGTAGCAGTATAGGAAATGACATAGGGTCAGGGCTCAAATTCCGTGATTAAAATAACACAAACAGCCAGGCATGGTGGCATATGCTGTAATCCCAGCAATTCAGGAGGCTAAAGAAGGAGGATGGCAAGTTTGAAGCCAGCCTCAGCAACTTAGCAAGGCCCTGTCTCAAAATAAAAAATAAAAAGGGCTGGGGATGTGGCGCAGGGGTTGAGCACCGCTGAGTTCAATCCCTGGTACCAAAAAGCAATAATAAAATAAAATGAAATAATGACAACAATAACAGCAACATAGTAACTCACTTACATCAACATAGTAACTCACTATTATTAAAACTGTATTATTAATACAGTTTTGTATGTATTAATGCTAAATAATATTAACTGTTGTGATTATTGGTTTTTTTATTGATATTGATATACCATCACATGGTTGAGTTGGGGGCCAACCATTTAGTAGGAGCCCATTAAATACTAGTTAATTTTTAAAAACCAATGATGCTAACAATAGTAATAATATTAAGCACTCAGCATCTCAGGCTGTGCACGGAGAATGAGCTTAATAAACATCAATAGCAGTAGATCAATAATTCCAGCAACCACAGAGACAACAGTCAATTCCCAGCGTGCCGTCCTGGATCGGGCAACCTAGCGTGTCCTGGGGTTCTGTGATCCCCCAGGATGACCAGTCCCACTCACAGGAGCAAGGCCCAGCCCTTGGCTCACTTGGCAGGTGCGGCCACCGTGTGCGCAGGCGCACTGTCCATGGTGCACACATCACAAGAACAGCCCTCCATGCAGGCGGGGCCGCCGTGGGGTTGGCACAGCTGGGCAGGCGGAGCCCCTGGTGCGGTAGCCGCTGTGCTCTGGGAGCTTCGCGGCTGGGCAGGCAGGGGAAACGCAGGCGAGGAGGACAGGGCTCCGCAGTTCTCAGCTCCCTGCCCCGGGGCTTCCAATCCCTGACCTGTCTGCCACCAGCTCCTGTTGTTGGGGTTTAGTCCCCTCCTCTGGCAAATCGGCTCTTGAATACCGACCTCATACTTGTGTTGAAGGTTAAGTTAAATTAGGAGACTGGGGCAGAGCCCCACGCTGAGGGCCCGGGTGAACTTGACTTCTTACTTCACAGAGAGCCCCCGTCTACCTTTGCCACTGCATGAACCCCATTCTACCCCAACTCCAGCATCTCTGAGAGGCAAAGGCTGAGTGTCAGACACTCACATTGATCACGGACAGGGCCTGGCTTTAGGGGTGTCCTGACCCCCCAGGATGGCTCTGTGGAGGCTTTTGGTGCCCTGGTTGAGCGAAGGAGCTGCTGTCCCCAGAGAACCTGCCCTGCCCCTATTGCCCCAATAATGTTAGAACCTGGGCGGGGGGAACACCTGCACCGGGGAGCCAGCAACAACTCTGGCACAAGGAAGGAAAGAAAGACTTTTGAAGGAGGATCAGAAGGACTAGGTTTTTCATGCTACCAAGAAATTATTACTCCTTCTGTTAGGTGTGAGTAAATCATGGTAATTTTTATTCTTTCTGAAGTCCAATCTATTAGAGAATCATGTTGGAATATTTACAGATTGACCCAACATCTGAGGCTTGTTTTATAAAAAGTAAATAAATAAAGCCGGGTGCGGTGGCGCACGCCTGTAATCCAGGCAGTTTAGGAGGCTGAGACAGGAGGATCGTGAGTTCAAAGCCAGCCTCAGCAACGGTGAGGCGCTATGCAACTCAGTGAGACCCTGTCTCTAAATAAAATACAAAATAGGGCTGGGGATGTGGCTCAGTGGTTGAGTGCCCCTGAGTTCAATCCTCAGTACCAGAAAAAAAAAAGTAAATAAGTTGGGATGGAGCCAAAGTTGACCCCGACTTGACCATTGTTGAAGATGCTTGATGGGTCCAGGGCATTAATTACACTCCTCTCTCTCCTTTCACTTATGATGAAAACATCTATAATATGGAACTCAAGTAAACAAGAAGGAAAGAATTGAAAGATAGGACCATAATAAAACTTCTTCCATCGCTAGAGAAAATAGGGCTCAAATGTCAATTAGCTATGGACAACTGGCTGAGCTCTGTGAGCCTCAGCTTTCTCAGCTGTAAAATGGGGATGATAGCAGTCATCCGCTCTGACTTGCAAGGTGTTCTGGAGAAGCTGACAGCAATAAGTACACAGAACCCTTAGCCCTGTGCCTGGGACACTGCAGGTGTGCAGTAGGTATTAGTGGTTGTTGGCATTATTATTATTTTGTCATCTTTGGGAGGTGAAAGGTAGGCATCTCAGGTCAGGTTTTCTGAAGGTCTGACCAGGGTGGTATTAAAAACATGTAGCAGCCAGGCCTGGTGGCACACACCTATAATCCCAGTGGACCAGGAGGCTGAGCCAGGAGGATCACAAGTTCAAAGCCAGCTTCAGCAACTTAGTGAGGCCCTGAGCAATTCAGTGAGACCCTGTCTCTAAATAAAATATTAAAAATGGCTGGGGATGTGGCTCAGTGGTAAAAGGACCCCTGGGTTCAATCCCTGGTGCCCCCACCAAAAAAAATGTAGCAATCAGTAGAATATAGGCTTCACCCCTTAGAAGATCTCGAGCTTACCCAGAAGATCTGGGAGCCCTGTCTTGCCAGGCTTTGGAATGCAGGAAGTGGCTGGTAGCACTTGGGCAACTCAGGGGTCTAGAAGTATTTCAGTCTGTGATCTACTGGCATGACCATATGGAATATGCAGAATATGTCCGGCTCAACCATGACTTACCACAGAAGGAAGAATTTCTCCAGTGCCCAAGGGTGACATTTGTACCCTGGCAGACTGCAGCCTATGTCTGCAGGGCCAAGCAGAGGATGCGGTCATAGCAAGACACACATCACCGACACAGCTGGATCTACATGGATCCAGGTTGATCTCCTGTGGCAGGGACCAAGGGGCCCCTGGGGTTCCTGCAGGAGCCCACACTGCCTCCTCACAGACACAATCTGCTCCTGGTCATTGCAGACTGGAAGGCAGCTCCACAGTCGTCCCCACAAGCCTTGCTCTGCTTCCCCAAGGTGACAAGGGATTCAGCATCGTTGCTAGGTTGCCACGGAAGTTGCTGCAGAGCCCACAGGTGTGACCCTTCTGGGGCTGGGGCAGGTGAGGCTGTACGAGGTTTGTGGTGAGCCACAGGCGGAAGTCCAACCACAGCATGAAGAAGAGGCCATTCCAGGACATGACAAGGCTGTCCCCTCTAGAGCTTACAGGTGGGCTACTGTCTCACCACTCACCTAAGGAACAGACCGAGTCAAAGACTGTGGTTCAGGAGAGTTGGACCACGTTAGTCTGGGTCAATGTCACATGACTCAAGTGCTCAAATGCATGTAAAATATGTTTCAATGAAGAGACAAAGATAGAACTACAATAGTATCACTTCTTGTTCTTTCTGCTCAGCATTCTTTTTGTCTTGCTCTGGATTTCTTTTAGAAATTGTCCCTGCAATATCTATGGTTCACAGGAAGGAAGTCAACCCCAGCCTAACTCCCAGCACATAACCCAGGCCCAGCCAGTCAGTCCACAGAGACTTAGTCATGTGAGATGGTCACATGACCTAAGCTGAGCCAATGAGGGCCAGTCCTGGGACTTTACAGGAAAAGATGCTCTTTCTCCAGAGGCATTTGCTAAGCTGGCCGCCATCTTTGTCCTCACAAGGTGGACTGGCCATGGCTGAAACTGAATGAAAATAGAGCCTAGAAACAGACACAGCTTCCAGATGCACTGGTTGAGCCCTTGGACCCAGCCCTGCCTGAACCCCGGGATGTCCTGATTGTTTTTCAATTATGTCAACCAATAAATTCCTTGTTTTTTCCTTAAGCTGATCCAAAGACTATTTCTATCATTTTAAATTAGATGCATCTGATGGATACAGACAGAAAAGTGTGTGTAATTGAGGATGGAGGGTAATGGGGAAATACTGGAGAGAACAGAAGTTTTTCCTTTGGGGCCGTGGGTTTGGTGAGGGGCTTGGATTCCTCAGAACCCTATGTCCCCCGCCCCCAGAACCATCACTTACCTGAGCCATGTCCTTCTGCAGGTGGACCTGGGTCGTGCTTCTGAGATGAGTGTGACAGGGAGGTTGGGCCTGTCCTTGCCCAGTTCTACTCTGAAGAAGGGCGTTGAGCCAGAGAGCCACAGACTTGGCCAGGACGGGCACGCAGCTGCCTGGGAGCTCCAAGATCCTCCCGTCAAAGGTGATAACGTGCAAGGGCCCATTTGCCTGGCAGGTGCCAGGGGACAGTGGGCAGCACCCAAACGTGCCCTTGAGGGTCCCTCAGCTCCACCCAGGCCCATGGAGGAGGACAGCAGTTCACAGCGTGGGCAGAGCCTCACCCTGTAGAATTTCTCACATGCTGCCTGCTCAGGCCTCCCCAGCCAGGTGGCAAGTGCCCTCCATGGAGCAGGCTCACTGGATGGGGGACAAGCAGTCAGTGCCACTAGCACAAAGCCAAGTCACACTGATGCCCTGCTGGCACAGCATGGGGCAGCTGTCGGGCAGCAGGCTACGCACAGGGGCTGGGACAGGAGGAGCCACCAAGCTCACAGTGACTGTGAGGAACACAGGGTAGTTCTGGAGGGACAGAAGTAGATGCACCAAAGGGACAACTCGCTCCCCCAGGACCCAGTTCTGGTCCCTTCTGTCTCCCCAGGGCCCAGCTCCATGGCACCCTCGATGAATATTTGTTGAAAGAATTAATACATGTACCGAAGCCCTTCTCTGTAGCGTTGGTTTGTTCAGTTGATTGGGGATCCCCTCCATGCCAGGGGCACTCGAGAGACTGGGGGTGCCGTAGTGACCCAGACAGTTAGAAATCTGTGACCTCATGGGGCAGCTGTTTTGGAGCAAAAGGCTGACCAGCTACTCCCCTGGGGCCCCCTCTGGCCCACCACCTGTGATTCACAGTCCACAGCCTAAGAATAGTGTTTCTAATGTTTGAATGGTCGGGGACCAAAGGAAAACAAGGATGATATTTTGTGAAGTGTGAAAATCATGTAAAATTTAAGTGTTGGTGGCCACTCCCTCCTGACAAGAGGCTTTGTTTGTGGCCCCCTGAGCTCACTTCCTGTTCCGGGAAGCACGGGGGACTGGAGGTACTGGCCTGGAGTCCTGGGGGTCAGGGGCCACAAGCCTCAAGACGGTCCTCACTCCTGGCCTGCCGTTCAAGGCCCCAGGCCAGCCCCGGCCAGGTCCAGGCCTTGCCTCTCCCCAGCCGCCCCCCACCCCCTGACTTGACTGCACTCGGCTCCCGGCTTCTGAGGACGCGTCCCTTCCTCCCGGAACAGTTGCCTCTCACTTACCATCTGACTTTGACTTGTCCCTCGGGCCTCGTCTCAGATGTCCCTCCTCTGGACGCCTCCTGACTCCCCAGGCAGGGCCAACTCCTTTTCTGGGCTCCAATGTACCCCCAAGTTTTCCTACCTGACTCCCTGACTTCCCCACCACAGCCCCCACATCCTGGGCCGTCCCTGTCTGGGGACAGCATGTGGGCCCCGGGAGGACAGGTTGGGCCTTTCTCTGTCACTGCCACGTCCACAGCATCCCCCAGTGGGAGGTCAGACCCTAAGCGACCCCTCCCTGCCTCATGCTGGCTGTGTGGCCTTCTGCTTCCTGGACCTGGGAGCAGCTGGGCTGGGCTGTCCTCAGGCCTTTCCACGACAGCGACTCAGGGCAGCACTGTGGTCCTCATCTGGTGGCTGAGTGACGTTAACGCAGGGTCTTTTCTTTAATGGGATGTTTAAAAATCAACTTAGTAATGACAACATATACTTACATAGCTTTCACTATATTGCTAGGAGCTGTTAATCAGATCCTCACAAGCCCCTAACTGGGTAGGTACTACTAACCTCACTCCTGTTATGTTGTTAAAAGGAAAACTGAGCACAGAGAGGTTAAGCGACTCACCCAAGACTACACAGTTAGAAAGTGCTGAGGCTGAGAGGCTCACCAAGGCAGTCTATGTTCCCGTTCTTGATGCTGAACATAAGTGGGGCATCCCTGGCTTTAACCGAGAAACAGAGTAAGAAAGAATGCAATGGAAAGTGTTCGAGCCCTCCTTCCTATCTGGGAACACTTTATATATCGGTGTGGTCTGTGGAATAATGACCTCTCAGAGATGTCCCTGGCCTGACTGCTAGGTCCTGCGAATATGTTGTCCTACACGGGCAAAAAGAACTTTGTAAACATGATTGAGGTTATAGACTTTGAAAGGGGAGAGATTATTCTGGATTGTCCAGATGGGCCCAGTTACAGTCCCAGGGGCTCTTAAAAATGGAAGGGGAGGCAGAAGAGTATCACAAAAAGGAAGAAGACACTGGACACCCACAGCGGCTTTGAAAAAGCAGGCGGGGGCCTCCTGCCCAGAACAGCCCCCAGTTTACAGTCCACAAAGAAACGGGGGCCCGGGTTCTGTAACGGCCAGGAGATGAATTCTGCTGAGCTGTGGAGCGAGGCAGTGATCTCCCCAGAACCTCCAGAGAGGGACACAGCCCTGTGACAATTGGATTTGCCCTGATGAGAACAGCATTGGATTTCTGACCTACAGATTGCAAGATGGTACATTTGGGTTGCTCTAAGCTGCCAAGTTTGTGGCAATTTGTTACAGAAGAAATAGAAAATTCACCCCTGACTGTGTTTGGTACTGTGGGTTTCCACCCCAAAACGTTTGGAAAACTGCCTCATGATCTTAACAAAGATCACTTGGCATCGGGGTAAGGATGGGGGCGGGGAGTGGACATTTGTCCTTTGGGCACCAGCCAGTACCCATGGCCTCTGCTAATCTCATCCCAGCCTCTGCCAGGTGATCTCCCCAGGGGCAGAGGCTGGGGGCAGTCAGAAGCTGATTGGAGTAATCGTTCCCTGGCCTCCTTCCCCTGGCCTCCTGACCGGTTGCAAAGGAGCCCATCCAATCCGTCCAGATGCGGTGAACTTACACTGCAGCTTCCAGGACCCACAGACTGTCCTTCCTCTTGGGCAGAAACCTGAGTGGCTGCCAGATGTACTCAGGGAGAGAGAGCCCTCCTGGATGTGGCACCAACATGGTGTCACCAAGAGACCGGGAGAGGGTAAAGCCGAGAGTGCCTGGTGGAGCCAGGCCTGCTACCCACTCCGTCGCCATGAATTATGCAAGCCACCCGCTTATGTGCCCTCGTGGCTTCCTATAGCCAGCAAGCCGAAGGGCGCTGGCTGGCAGGGCGGGGAAGGCCAAGGGCATGATGGGACCTGGAGCAGGTGCCCCTGGCCGCAGTCTGCCGGGCGCTCCAGGGCTGCAGAGGAGGCCGGGCCTGGCACTGCTGGGCAGAGCTCCCAGCACTTCACACAAGGTCTGCCGCCAACCTGCTGTGGCACAGAGGTGGCAGACACGGCTCTCCATGCCTCCACGGGCTCGTCACAGACTTGTCGTGGTTCATTCCGGGCCACCAGCAGCCCACTGAAGGCCAGTGACCAATACCAGCCCTTTCTGTCATGTGGGCACAGAGGGGCAGGGCCCATGAGTGAGCAGCTGGCTGGAGAGGGCCGGTCCTTCCTGCTGAGCATGAAGGCCACTGTGTGGGACAGCGAGGAGCCACTGGGATCCCACGCAGGACACAGAGGGCACCCGTGCAAGTCTCAGGTACCTTGATGGACATGTGGTGGCGCCTGTCTTGGGAGACCAGGAGGCCCGTGACCGTCTGCAGCAGTGCCCCAGAACCATGGAAGTGGACGTGCCCGAGGCCACCAGCCAGGTGTAAGGGCCAGATGGGCACAGATGGGACTGTGACCTCAATGGACTCTGCGACTCCCTCAGAACCTTCGGGATGGGACCCTGTCCCCCTTAGACCGAGCCTGTCCTTCTGGGAGTGGGTCTCAGTGCCCCCACAGGCTCACCTGAACCCCCCCAAGGGCGTCCATCGTCACCGTCACTCATGACATGCTCCTCTGTCGCTGTGCCCCACTGGTCATGGGGCTCAGCACTCCTTGTCCCCCACACCGTAAAGCCCATGTCCCTGGCCAGCGTGACAGGCGTGGCGCAGGTGCAGCAGGCTCCCTGGGCTGTGAGGGCTGTCCCATCACCAGGGTGGTCACGGGGGTCACCTGACACCCAGCTGCTACCTCTCAGGACTCCACAATGCCAGGTCCAGTGCGCAGGGGGCATGCTGTCCCCTCTGCACAAGCCTGGGGACAGCAGTGGTGGCTGCCCGGCTTCTTTGCACTCACACAGCTGTGACACCCCAGAGGCAGGACGCAGCCAGGGCCAGCCCCAGAGGACCAGGTGGACACACACTCCACCACTGAGCAGTAGCCCTCATTCAGGGCAGTGGCAGGCCAGAGGTGCCTCCTCACGTGGACAGCTGGCCCTGCAGAGGTCAGCACTGTCTCCCGGTGGCTGTTTTGGGGCAGAATGGATTTGGAGCAAGGAGCCGGGGGTGGGGAGTGGGGGTGGGGGGAAAGAGATAATCAGCATCCAGACCACTGTCCCCACCCCCAGGGTCAGAACCATGACTCCAGGCCCCCAGGGCAGGATAATGACCTATCAGTCCCCCAGAGCTGTTTTCTTCCAAAACCCACCTTCCCCAGGGCTGTCAGACCCCAAGGTATGGCTAGATATTTTTGTGCAGTTCACAGCCTGAACAACTGGATGTAGTAGTCTTGGGCCCAGGTCTCACTAGTCTTTTTGCTATGTCCATTCCTCCAGCTGGCCGCAGAAGCCAGGACACACCAGGTACCCACAGGAATGTCAGCAGCTTGACAAGCCCAGGCAAAGTGCATGTCAGAGGACACACAGGCTCCCGTTGGCCACCCACAGCTCCTCGGCACCGCTGTCCACCAACAGGCCCACAGCGAGGGTCCAGTGTAGACTGCAGAGGGGCCGGTCTGTCTGAGAGCTGCCCGCGGGCTTTGGGGCCTGCACGCCTGGCCTCTCAGGGAGGGCAGTGCAGCCGGGCTGAGCCTCAGGACCCTGCGGCCTCCAGCTGGCGGAACAGCCAGGTTCCATCTGTGTCCTCAGAGGGTCAGAGCCGCAGGCCACACAGGCCCCTGGTAACAGTGAGCTCAGTTTCTGGCACCGTGAGTTCCAGATGCCAGATCCACCGTTCGAGGCTTGTGTCCACAGCCAGGCAAGTGGCTGTGTCCCCTGAGTGGACATCAAGTCCAGCCCTGGTGATGGAGATGGGCAGAGGATGAAAATTCCCATCCACCTGCAGGGACACGAGACCGTGCTGGGGTCAGCAGGAAGAGCCTCCTGTCATCCTGTCCCTCTGCCTGGTGGCCTTCCATCCTGTCCATCCCCTTGCCTGTTCTACTTTCTGTCTGCCCACCTGTCACTGGACTCTCTGTGCGTTCACCGTAGGAGTTGGGATAACAAGGCACGCGTTAGGAAGACGGGGAAGACCAGGGCCCCGTGTGGGTGACACTCCTGAGGGGTGCAGGAAGCTAATGGGCCAAGTGCAGCAGAAAACCCATGTGAGATGCCCCAGGGCATGAGGGAGGGGGAGGGGGGGCAAGCCCAGGCACCCCTGCTTCGAAAGAGTAAGGCCCAAAGGGTGTGCCGCTGCGGAGATGGGAGGAAAGCAGAGAGTGGCATCCTGGGAGTTGAGGAAGGGACAGACCTGTGTCAGCACCCACAGTTGATCAGGCAGGATGTAGGCTGAGCAGGAACCTCTGGATGGGGGACCTCATTAAGAAAGGTTTTGCTGGGCTGGGTGTGGGGGCACATGCCTATAATCCCAGCAACTAGGGAGGCTGAAGAAGGAGGATCCCAAGTTTGAGGCCAGCCACAGCAACTTAAGGAGGCCCTAAGCAACTTTAGCAAGACCCTGTCTCAGAAATAAAAAGAACTGGGGATGTGGCTCAGCCATTAAACACCCTTGGGTTCAATCCTGTCACGAGGGGGCAAAATTGTGACATATGCAGTCAAGGAGGAAAAATAAAGAATGTCCACGTGTTTCTGCCCTTGTCAATGCTTTAGTCACTCAAATCACTCAATACCATTTCACTCTATAGGTTCTTAATCAAGAAAATGACAATCCTTAATGCTGGGCACTGCCATAGACATAATCAGTTCACATCAAACGATTCTAGATTAATTAATACACAGCAAACAATTCTCGATTATTCTAAGCACAGCAGACACACTGAATCATGACAGGCTAGTGACACACCTTCCCTCTGCGTGCTCAGTTCTAAAGTCTCAAGCCTCAGGCTTTCCGTCCAGCAGTTGCACACTCACTCAGACTGTGGTGACCAGGTCCGGACCAAGGCAGGCTTCTCCTGGGTGGAGTGGACGGCCGGTTGAGGAGAGGGCCGTAGGGAGAAGTTGCGGCTCTCACCAGGGTCCAGACAAGGCGGTAGAGGTTGAGGGTGGTGAGGATCACACAGAGGATCGGGCAAACGATGACCAGTGATGGGATGTCAGGTCCTCATCAGGCTGTCCAGCTCGAGTGCATCCTTGTTCCTGCTGGCTGAATCCCTGTTCATCAGCTCTATTACTTATACTAAATTTGGGGGCTTTTGACCTCCCAAAATTTAGTATAAATAATAGAGCTAATGAACACACAGAGGGTCCAGTGACAGATGGGCAGATAGAAAGTACAACAGGCAAGGAGATGGACAAGATGGTCGCTTTCAATCCTCATCAGCTACCACCAGATTTCTCCATGACATCATTTACCCTGGGGTCAGAAACACCTGCTCTGTGGTCTCCACCCTGATCTTCTGGCCTTTCCCTCTTATCCGGGGAGGACAGCCTGCCAGGGGCTTCACTGTTTATCAGGGTGGGGGAAGCGACCTGTCTGAGGCCACACTGGAGGGCTCTGCTCTGTGGGTGTGCCTGGGGAGACTGCAGGTTTCAAACTGGAGTTTTTAAAATGGAGTTGCTTAGGCCCAGGCCTAGGGCCATCCTCACAAATCCCCAGTACCCCCCAATAAAAAGAAGAAAGGAAGAAAGGTTTTGGTGGCGTGAAGTTGAAGGCTGACGTCACCCTGACTGAAAAGGGTTTGAAAGAGAGCGAGAAAAGCGAAGTTGGGGGGAGGGAGTAGATAATGACTCTCTTGCAGGCATTTGGGGTGCTGGGTGTCTGAGAAATGGGGCAATAATAGCCAGAGGGGTTGAGGGTATGGGACACTCCCAGCCTGTTGGGATGGATGTGAAGAATCCACCAGATTCTTCAAATAGGTGGTGCAGACTCCGACTCAGATCCCATGCTCCAACTCGAGAGCTCACCGAACCCCGGGAGGAAGGCGCCTTCAGCAGGCTCCTGGGTGGGGCTGCTGGTCGGGGCCACGTGGAGAACCACTGATGAAGAGGAAGGTGGAGCAGGAAGAACTGCCCAGAGACCTGGGGACGGTCACAGGGCGGGCCACAGCCAGGGAGGAGCACTGACCACGTTCCATCACAGCAGAGGACGGGGAGGGTGAACAGGTCACCAGGAGAGGGCAAGTGAAGGTACCAAGGAGCGGTCGAGATGGCTCGTCAAGCCCAGTCAAGTTCATGGTCATGGACAGGATGCTGGCCAGGTGTCCAGCCGCCTAAGTGGACAAGCTGGGGCTGCTCAAACGGGGTCCTCAGCTGAGCACTGGAAGGAGAAAGCAAGGAGGGACTGCAGAGGGACACAGCATGGGGAGCAATGGCCTCAGCCCGCGGGTCACCCGATGACCGGCGACTTGGTACTTGAGCAGGAACCAGCGCAGAGGTGTATGACAAGGGCCAGGGCAGGGAGAGGCAAGGCAGAGGCCCTGGGGGGCTGCGTTTATGTGACCCTGGGTGGCTTCACCTGCCTGTGGCTTGCCATCTGCCCGCCATTTGTCCACCTGTTCCTCTGTCTCCCTTCCTTCTGCCTCAGCAGCTTCCTGGTCACCCAGGTACTTCTGCAGCCTGACTCTCTCTGTCCTTTGGCACGGCCTACCTTCCTGTCCACCTGCCTGAGGTCTCTCACCGTGTCCCTCTCTCTGCCTGTTGTCTGTCCACCTGTCACTGGACCCTCTGTCCCCTCGCCTGCCACAGGTACATCCCCTAGCCCTGCTCCCTGCCTCACCCGCCAGCCATGCCTTCTTGGGCCTTGGGCCTCTCCAGCACGTCCTGCCGTGACCACCCTTGGCCCCAGGGCCTCAGGCACCGGGGCTCTCCTCCAGGTGGACCCAGGAAGCAGGGCCAGGGTGAAATGGCGGGGCTGGAGCTGCTGCTGAGAGCCTGTGCAGATGGCCCTGGGGGCCCAGATGACAGGAGGCTCTGGGAGGGGCAGCGTGGGAAGGGGCCTGCAGGTGTACCCTGCTGGCCCACCGGGCAGCCTCTGGCCAGCACCAGACCCGGCCTTCCTGCCCACAGTGGTGCCTGAGGCTATGGCACTGCTGTTCCAGAAAGAGGCTCCCAGGGGCAGGACCTGGGCAGCAGAGTGGGGCTGGGTGGGGTGTCCAGGCCTAGGGTTTGAGGAAGGAGAGGGCTGGGGGTGCAGCACGTGGGTCTGAGGATGGTCTGAGGCTGGGGGGGAACTCTCTGGTCCCGGAGGAGAGGCTGGGGTCTCTGTGGACCTGGGCCTGGGAGCGGGTGCCTTTGAGGCTGGGTCCCCACCTCCTCACCACTGTAGGCACAGTCACTGGGACCACACAGGTGCTCGTGCAGAAGGCCCTGAACCCAGGTGCCCGCGTTGCTGCTGGCTGCACCCGCCTGCGTCCCAGGCCCTGGAGCCGCGGCTGGCACAGTGGCCCCTCTGCTGGCCACTGTCGAGGCCACCTGGGGAGACGGTTCAGGATGGGGCCGAGCAGGCCATCTGGTCACCCTTCCAAGACTCGATGGCAGCCTTTGTGGGTTCTCCTTGCCACCTACCTGGGCTGCCATGCTTTGGGCCATTGTGGGGGCTCCTGCCACAGGAATCCACTGGATGTCATTGTGGAAGGACAGTGCCCAGGGACGCCGTTGACCGTGGCCAGCACCACCTGGAAGGTGTTCACCTGTGGGGCCCAGGGCAGGGAGCTGGGGCGTCATGGGCTGGCCCAGGAGCACCCACGACACCCCGTTTCTTAGCTGGTCCCATCTGCCCTGGGGCAGGCTGCTTCTGTGGTCACCTCCACCAGAGCCCATGGTGGCCTTCCACCACCGTCCCCGTCTCTATCTTTCTATTTCCCTTTTTCTGCCCCTTCTTCTCTCCCTCTCCACTGGCCTCTGTCTCCTTGGTGGCACTTCTTCTGTCTGCCTCTCTGTGCCTGGCTCCCCAGCCTCCTCCACTCCTTCACGCCTGTTCCCTCTCTCTCTCTCCCTCCCTCTCTCTCTCTCCCTCCCTCTCCCGTTCTCTCTCTCTCTCTCTCTCTCTTTCCCTCTCCTCCTCCGTCTCCACTTCTCTCCTCCACAATGTCTCCCACTAGTCTAGAGCCCAGAGCCTTCTTCCTTGGTGGTTGGGCCTGAGTCTTCAGCCTGGCCACCTCCTTCTTCACCTGGGGACAAGGGACCCATCAAAAGGAATTGGGGGGGGGGTGCTGGGGCTGGAGCTCAGCAGTAAAGTGCTGGCCTCGCATGTGTGAGGCCCTGGGTTCCATCCTCAGCACCACATAAAGGTATTGTGTCCACCTAAAACTTAAAAAAAAATGTTAAAAAAAAGAATTTGGTTCCTCCATTCTCCCCACGCCGCACCCCCCCCCCCATTACAGGTCAGCATTCACTTCTCAGAAGGAAGCTTCGGCCTTTGTCTTACTTCACTTGGGGAAGGGGAGGGGGGAGGGGAGGGGCATGGGGGCAGGAAAGAGGGTGGAGTGGGATGGACATCATTACCCTAGGGACATGTGTGAGTGCACATATGGTGGGACTCGACATCGTGAACAACCAGAGAAACAAAGAGTTGTGCTGCAGTTGTGTACGATGAGTTGAAATGCAGTCTGCCGTCGCGTATAACTAATTAGAATAAAATTTCTTAAAAAAGGAATTTGGTCCCAGGTGGCCACCAGCGAGGCTCGAGGGCTGGGGGGTTGGGGGGCTGGGGAAGGGAAGGCCAGGTCTTCAGCTGCCCTGCCCCAGCCCCCCAGAACCTAAGCTGGCTCCCCGAATCTAAGCTGGCCTTTCACATGGCCACACCAGGTGGGACAGAGGCACGCCTAGGGCAGGTTATTTGTAGGGTCCCTCTGGCCCCTGGCTGGAGGCTCCGTGGGACCACATATGGCCCCCTCTCAGAGTGGACCCACAGTCCCGATCAGGGCCACAGAGGCCTGGCCTGTCTCCAGGGGAAGTGCCTCAGGCGTGAACAGGGCCACAGGCTCCCCAGAGGACACCAACCCATTGGTGCAGGCCTGGGGGAGGTGGGGGAGACTGGCAGGGAGTGTCATCATGTTGGGGGGCAGAGGAGGGACAGGTCCCACCCCAGGAGGGCCCAGGACGAGGCCCAGGAGGGAGTAAGACATGGATAGGTACAGGGTCAGGAGTGGGGCTGGGGACAAGAGAGACCGGGGGCACTGTGGCCAGGGACTCACATAGACTGTTCTGTGTGTGACCTCAGAGCAAAGGGATCCGGCAGCAGCAGCTCAGAGAAGCCACCATCCTCTGCAGAGAGGGCCCCCCCCACCCCCCCCCCCCCCGCGCCCCGTGCTCCACCCCACAGGGATCAGGAGTGAGGCTGGGGTCACCACCAATACGGAGGCTCCTCCAGTCCCACCTGGATGCCTCTCAGACCCCAGGGGTCAATTGTGTTCCCTTAGTTCTCATGTGCAGGGTCAGGTCCCCTGAGGGACTCCAGGGTGGGGCCACATCCCTTTAAACCCCTAGGGCCCTCCCCTCCTGCCCCAGGTCACTCTCCAGGTTAGGAAGTGTGTCTGGCTTCACCTCGATCTCCTTGCTCCGAGTCACTGAGAAGAGGGGACCAGGGGATCAGCTAAGAGCCAAGCCCACCCGCCACAGCGTGCTCCCTGGGCCCGCGCTCCCACGCACCCAACAGCACAGCCTCAAGGTGGACCCAGGACTGGGTGGCCAGACTGGCATATCCCAGGGCTGAGGTGGGGCCCAGGAGGGGTCCGGGTAGAGACTGGGGTGGGCAGGGAGCTCTGCCCCGTGGCCCACTGCTCATGCCTCTGGGGGCCTGGGAGGCATGAGGCCATGCTGGGCCCACCCTGTCTGGCTGGGGCTGGGCAGGCCTGGGGGAGAGAGGTGCAGCCAGGAAGGAAGAGGGACCGATGTGTCCAGGGCTTCCCCAGCCCCAGGGTTGCCACAGGCTCCCAGGGGCCGCAGCGGCCTCCACACTCCTCAGGGGCCAAGGCCAGTCCAGCCACCTGCAGAAGGAAGAATCGAGGCATCTCTTGGTGAAAGGGTTGACAGGAGGCTGAGGTCGCCCAGCGCCTGTGCTCCCCAGGGACCCTGCCAGTTCCCTCTCCTGCAGGTTCAAGATTAATTCACAGACTCCTGGGAACAGGGGGAGCCTGTGGGAAGCGAAGACCAGGCCCCCCGGGGCCCCGGGGCCGGGATTCCACAGAGAAGGATGGGGGCTGAGCCTCGTCTTGGGCATTTAGGACTATTGCAGGGGACACAGTGGCAGGAGGACATTCACCTGGAGGGTGAACAGGGAGCAGGAAGGGGCTCAGCACTGAGCACCTGCGGAGGTTCGAAGAGGTTCTCCCTCCAGAAGGTGCTCATAGTTAGGCAGTGGGGACTCACCTTCAAATCAGATGTCCCAAGGGCACGGATCTGGCTCCCCCAACCTTAGCTGGCCTTTCTCATGGCCACGCCAGGTGGGACAGAGGCACGCCTAGGCCAGGTTATTTGTAGGGTCCCTCTGGCCCCATCGAAACTGAGCTGGTCCTCGCTTCCTGCCCATCCAGGGGCACGTTTGGGTAACAGTTTCGCATCTGGAGACGTGCGGGGCGTCAGCCTTCCGGGTGGCTGCAGAGCCGGTGGGAACCGGTGGCCCCCTGCCCTCGGCAGAGTTGCTCTCCTCACGGGTCCCAGGCTCAGCTTGGCACCTGGGACAGATGACCAGGGAAGGAGGCTGAGCCCCACGGCCCCTTCCTCCCAGATTGTAAGGGGATGAACCAAGTGATTCCCGCAGTGCGGCACCCTGGGTGCAGGAACCCCGGAGAGTACAGGAGGGAGACGTTTGTTATCATCTTCTCAGTGTTCCTTCACTTACATTTTTTATTCTGATTTATATTGAAAACACATGTATCTGCCACTACCACACGAAATCCACACTTTCGTACCTGTTACTGTCAGAGTCGAGTTTAAAAGAAAAAGAAATATGAAAAGGAAGAGAAATATAAATAAAACAAATCACCCAGAACTGTGCCTGGCGCATAATAGGTGCTTCATAAATATTAATTGAATAAATAGCAAAATTAAAATCAGCACCTTCAAACATCTGAATTTGAGGAAATACTGAAGGAACATACAGAGAGCTCCCGGTACAGTGCCTGGTACAGAAAAAATGCTAAAAACAATATTCATGAGAATATTTATTAATATAAAAAATTATTATATATGGTACAACAAATAGATACTGTGGCCAAATGCTGACTAAGTACTAAAATCAAGCTTTGTCCGAAGCTGAACATTCCCATTATAGAATGAACCTCTGAACCGAACAAACAAATGGGACCGTGTATTGCTAAGTTGGGCGTGTATTAGTCTGTTTTCCTTTGCTATAACAAAATACCTGAGATGGCTTACTTTATAAAGAATATAATTTTTGTTATCTGCAACTTTAGCAGGCAAATCTTTCAGGCCGAATTTTTAGTGAGGGATTATTTCTGTTTTGTCAACTATCAACTTGCTCCTATGGTCTATAAGTTCCAATGGCAGTTCTAAGAAACGACCCTGAATTTTTTGATGTGTCTTCCACTGAAAAGTGGGGTCTCTGCCCCTATCATAGAGTCTGGGAAGTTTTGTGGTAGTGAGGCCGTGGTGTAAAATGCAGAGGTTTGCTCTGAAGCCCTGGGCTGCCTGGTGAGAAGTCCAAAGGTCCGGAGGCAGCCATAACAGCAGGAAGCCCAAATCACTTGGACAGACAATGAATTGGAAGTCCCAATGGATCCCTGCCTCTTAGCCATTCTAGCCCAGGCACCAGATTTATGAGTAAAGAAGCCTTCATGATCCAGTCCCTGTTCCCCAAGTCACTATCTTTAGGTTTCCTACTAAGGACCTGAGCATCATGGAGCAGAGGTAAGCCGTCCCTTCCAACGTCTATCCAACATTGAGCCGTGGAGTCCATGAGTCTAATACAATGGTTGCTACTTTGCACCACTAGGTTTAGGGTGGTTTGTTTTGCTGAAACAGAGCCAGAGCAACAGCTCACTTAATCACTGAATAATTGAAATAGCATTACCTCTCATGCAGAAACCAAAATCCATTGCCCTACTTACACCACTATTTGAACATTCACAGCGGTTATTTCTGAATATAAAATTACCGGCCTTGACAACCACTGTTAATCTTTTAGTGTTTCCACTGTTAAATAACTATTATGAAAGAGTAACTATACATTTCTCCTTCGACTTGACTGCAAAAATGCCAGCTTAACCAACCCCCTACAGAGCTTTCTACCCCAAGCGACACCCAGAAGGCTTCTCTATATTTGAAAAGAGGATAGTCAGATATAAATGCTGAATGTGATTGCCAGGCCTTGCTTGTGGTCCTGATGTGGCTACACTTGTTCTGTAGATGGATCGATATCTGACTCGGGAGGCACAGCATGACATAGAAGAAAGGGTTTTTAACGTCCAGCCTTTTGAAGCCCAAGATCCCAGCAGAGCCCTAAAGCAATGTTGAGATTGTCATTATACTGATCTTTAGGTTTCCTTGGCTCCTTGGGATGGGTGGCGAGGTAGGTGGGAGTCAGAGGAGTACCTGAAACCCACTGACTCCTGCATCCTAAGAAAACTAGTGAATGGATTTGAGGGAGACCCAACCCCCCTTCCTGCTCCACTCCAAGAAAGCAAGGGTGCTGGCAGACCCCAAGAACAAGACTGGCCCCCACCTGGTCTCTTACTATCTCCCATGTGATCTTTCCCTGTCATTGTGAAGCATCCATTGTGAGACCCTCATCAGAGCCTACGTGGATGCGGCTGCCCAATCTTGGACTTCCAGCTCTGAAACTGCGAACTAAATAATCCTCTTTTCTCTATAAAGCATCTAATCTTGGGTATTTTGTTATGGCAAGGGAAAACAGACTAATAATACATGTCAAACTTTCTTCAAATCCCCTAGAATAGGGCCACATTCCCTCAGATCCACCAGGGCAGGTCCATGACCTCTTAAATGCCCCCTGCTGCTCAGACCCAATCCCCCAACCAGGGCATAGACATATCTGTTTAGACCATCACCCCAGGGTGAGTCACATTCCCCGAGAGTCCCCAAACTTCACAAAACACATGTACAACACGATTTTCAGCTGAAAAATTTCAGTCATCTCCTCTAACTCTGTACATTTCTAACAAACTAATGTACAAGTCAAATCTCAAATCACACCCCAAATACCGTGGTTAGGACAGTGCAGCCACATGCAGTCATTTGGAAAGTCTGTGTGCAGGTTCTGCAAGCTGAGAAACAGGGTTGGGAGATTCCACTGATCAGCAATGGTGGAGACCAACAAGGCTTGGGGATCAGGGACAGGTACATGGTTGGAGCATTTCCCAAATGGATGTTCTGTTAGTCCTTCAAAGGAGATTTTTTTTGGGGGGAGGGTCTATTTATACTCTAGGAAGTTTCTTGGGAGCTTGAGGTTGATACCTTATAATTTTTATCCTTTAAAGTATCAAGAAACAGGCACCCAGTGGACACATTATTTCTGCTGGTTTTTAACAACACTAGGCTGGAAACGTGTTCTCGCCATGTACAGGCAACAGCGCCCTCTGGTGGCCCTCTTGGCCATCACAAAGATCTGCAGATGCTCCAGAGGGGTGTGTGTGTGTGTGTGTGTGTGTGTGTGTGTGTGAGAGAGAGAGAGAGAGAGAGAGAGAGAGAGAGAGAGAGAGAGAGAGAGAGAGAGAAATACGGGCTGGGGAGCCCCATTCCAAGAAAAGGTGGGACCTGACCCCAGCCCGCATGGATGTAGGGGTGGGGGCTTCAGCGCGCAATCACAAGGCCTGCACCCCACCTCCATCCAAAAGGCCCTGTTTTCTGTGTTGGTCCAAAGAAGATGTGCTTTTGCTCACTGGGCATTGATGTCCACTTTTTCTGGAAACAAGTCTTCATTTCATCTTACATTGTTCTTGAAGGACAACCCCCTGTGCATCCCCCCTACCCCCCACCCCCATGTGCATCAAGTGCACGGTGATTCAATGAGAACATACCATCAAATCTGTTCAAGAGACCTGGGTCTCCTTGGGACTTGTTTTGCTATTAGGGAAGAAACATTTGTAGCTAGAGCTGCAAAGCTGGGTGAGGTGTCTAAGCCTGGAGTTTAGGTGGAGGTCTCTGTCTCTGTGTGTAGGAGCGGCTGCTTGGAAAGGAAACTGACACAATTAAAGTAGATTTGAGGGCAACTGGATCTAGCAGTACCTGAAGCCAGTATGCCCCCAGGGTATTTCCATTTAAGCAAACTGGTCAAAATCTCTCTCTTTTTTGCTATATTAGGGATTTGGATTGGGGATCCTAATCATGCTCAGCAAGTGCTCTACCACTGAGCTATATCCCAGGACCTGTTTTTATTTTATTTTGACACAGGGTGTCCCTAAGTTGTTGAGGCTGGCCTTGAATCTGTAATCCTCCTGCCTCGGCCTCCCAAGTCACTGGGATTACAGGTGGGTGTCACTGTGTTTGAAAAAAATCTTAATTTTGTGGAAAGTGGGGCATCACACGTTCTACCTGATAAACCCCAGGCCCTAATTCCTCTCTTCCCTCTCCATAAAATGTCCTCGTTGCTGCTTACACTTGCAAACTCGGAGGCCGCATTAATCAAAACCATCTTTATTATTTAAACAGCATCCTGTCCTCAGGGGCCTCCAGACAGGAGCCCCCAGAGGGCAGAACAATATTTACAAGGGTCGGGAGGGTGAGGCTTGGATGGTCCGAGGCAGAGTGAGCCCCCCACTGTGGAAGACAGGACCTTGGAGGAGGGCGTCCCTGGGCCTGTGGACTGGTTCAAGAGGAAGAGCGTTCCCTCCTGGGCTCAGCGTGGATCCTGTCGTGTGGAGCTGAAGCCACCCAACCTCGGGCCCCGGACAGGTGTGCTGCGAGGAGCCGCCACAGGTCAGAGCTGGGTCACCATGCCGCTGGCTTCGGAGTGAGTCTGGGGACAGACAGCTGGGGCTTCTGAGGTCCGAGGGGCTTCCCCAAAAGTCCCACGAGCCATCTCCCTTCCCCAGAAGACTGGAGACCCATCGGTCCCCCAGGGCGCCTTCTTCTAGGGTGCCCAAAGTTTCAGCCTCCCCTTAGCACCCCAGAGTCCCCCCAGTGGGGAGGGGACACCTCACCTTTATGGCCTGGAAGATCCACTCCCGGAAGTCACTGACTTTGGTGTAGACACCTGGCTTCTGGGCCAAGGCACAGCCAGTGCCCCAGCTCACGATGCCACAGAGCCGCCAACGTGGCGTCCGAGAGATGCTGTCCTCACACACAAAGGGACCACCACTGTCACCCTGGTGAGGGAAGGGCAAGGCGGCTGGAGGCCAGGAGGCCCTCTGTGCTCAGGCAGGGAGCCCCGCCGCCCACCGCCCTGGTCTCCGTCCCTGGGCAGCAGGGGCCCAGCTGTCCCCACACAGCCGTTACCTGGCAGGCGTCGATGCCACCCTCGGGGTAGCCGGCACAGAACATCTTGGGCTTGATCTGGTTCCCGTAGAAGTCGGGGCCGTTGCAGACATCCGTGCTGATGATGGGCACTCGGGCCTCCTGGAGCACCCGGGCCTGCTGGCCTGGGGGTGCGGGGGCAAGGCTGGCTGGAGCCCAGGAGCATGCACGACCCCCTCCCTCCTGGCGCCCACCCCACGACCCCCAGGGTCTCTACACACCAGGGCCTGTGGCTGTCCAGCGCACTGGACTGCCCCTCCCCTGCCCGGGTCAGTCTCCCTAATGACGGTGTCCAGGCAGGGCACAGGACTCACCATAGTACTGCGTGTTGCCCCAGCCCGTCACAGTGCAGATCTTGCCGTCCACCAGGGCCTGGTCAGCGGCCGGGAGACACACGGGCTGGATGTATTCTGTGACAGAGACCCCGTCGGTCCAGCCCCTGCTGGCCTGCCCAGCCCCGCCCAGCACAAGCCCATTCAGCTGCCTCCACGTCCCCCCACCAGACCCTGTCCTCTGACAGTCTGTGATGCCCACAGTGACCCACCGCCTAGGCGAGCTCTCAGTGTGCTAAGTGCTCTCCTGTTCATCTCATCTCCCGTCAGCCCCGGGGGGTAGGGGCAGCCATGACCCCAGAGAAGGGAAACGAGGCCAAGTCACTTGACCAAAGTTTCATAACGAATCAATGGTGAAGTCAGAATTTGGACCTAGGTTGGCCCAATTTCTGAGCCTGTTTTATTAACCACAGCCATGGCACTACCCCCAGCCCAAAGGGCATCTTTGTGAAGAATCCTGTGTTGAGATGCTTGACTTCCACCTGTCATACCGAGAAATACGTAGCCCTACACCAAGAATGCCCCTCCGAGATGTGGCACCCTTGTTCAGTGCACAACCTTCCCAAGCGGTCCTGTCAGCCCTGACTGTTGACTTTTCCTGCCTGAGACTCAGAGGCCTCAGCTGTAAAATCAAAATAATGATCATGACCCACCGGAAGCACCCTGAAAATTTGGTGAGGCAGCATATGCCTGGAATCAAACAGCAAGTATTTGGTGACTAGTCACAGTAATAAGTGACAGTCACAGCAGTAACTGCTAACAGTTTTGGAGCATTTGCTCTGGACTGCTGATTCTCAAAGCTCTTTACTCGTTTGAACCCTTTTGATTGCCTCAGCAACCCCAGGAAGTTGTTTTACAGTTGAGGAACAGGCACAGTACAGTGAAGCCACCTGCCCCAGATCCCACCGTCGACAAATACCCGGATCTGTCCCCAGAGCCCTCAGCCATGTGTCTCAAACCCGGCTGCTCCCCGCCCGCCCCCCACAGTCCTCATTTCAACATTGTAAACCCTCCACTCTTCGCTAAGGAGAAGGGAAGAAAAAAACGTATATCCCTCCCTTAAGTGAAAAACTAGGATCTCAGATCACAAAAGAGAAAATGACCACAATAACGTGCTGCGGACACACGGCAGGGTACCGAACTCCCTGGCCCCCGGCCTGGCACCAGGGGCAGCGCCAGGCAGCCCCAGCTCGGCTCTGCCATTTGCCAGCCGTGGAGCCTGGAGCGGTTTCCCTTCCCTGTGCGGGGACCCTGTGCAGGTGGGCCACAGGCTCTGTGAGATGCTCCTCGGGGCCACCGTGAGCAAGGGATGAGGACAGAGCCTGGCCCGGGGCAGGCACCGCGCTAGCGTGGAGGCTTGTGGGCAAAGCCACTACTGAGTCACCTCATTGCTTTACAGCCAGGCGTTACTTAAGGGTGGGGTCCGTATCTGAGAGATGGATCGTGACGTGACTTTGTGCAGATAGCACAGAACGTAGCTGATGCGACCTGAGATGCTTGAGGCCACATAAGCTCACGGGCCGATGTCCCCTGTACAGTCCATCACTGACCAACACCATCTCCTGTGGCCCATAACTACATCGCCACTGTATCATGATTTTCGTTACTATCACACTGGGGCCTGCGAGAGCTGGAACCCGAGGTCTATGCAGAGAACTGTAAAAGGAGGGACTCCTGGTGACCTCTCCACGGATCTGGCCTCTCCCTGTTTAGATTTCATACTTCATTTAATTATTCTGGGCAGCACGTTCGTGAGCTACACCTCCCAGGCCATCCTGCTCACCAGCTTGGAACGTGCAAGTCCACGGCTTCAGTGTATTCCCAGACACACATGGTAACCACTATGGACTTTAGAACATGTCACCACCCCCCAAAGAAACCCTGTATCCTTTACCAATCCTCCCAGTCTCCACAGTCCCGCTGCCCACCCTTGGCAACCATGAACCCACTTTTGATCTCTATGGATTTGCCTGTTCTGGGCATTTCATAGGAATGGAATCACACAAGACGGGCTTCCTTCACTGGACAGAAGGACTCCCCAGTTCACCCGTGGTGCCGGGTGAACCCCTATCTTGTTTCCTTTTCATGGCCGTATAGGAGTCCGCTGTAGGGATGCACTCTGTTGTGTTTATCCATCTGTCAGATGACACGCATGTGGGTTGTTTTCATCTTTGGGCTTTTATAAATAATGCTGACGTGAACATTTGTGTACAGTTGTGTAGACACGCGGTGTCCCTCCTGGATGTGCATCCCAGGTATGGAACTGTCACATGGTCAACTGCCAGAACATTCCCAAGTGGCTGTACCCACTGCCCAGACTTAATGATCACTCATTCCCCTGATTACCATGAACACCTGGGTCATCAATGCATTCTAGTCTGCTCTTGTCCCCCTCCTTTGTCCTGTCTGTCTCTGGAGTCCCCAAGTCAAGGCTCAGCCCTGCCCCCGAGATGTACCTGTGAGGGGCAGGGGGCTGGACAGGTGGACCAGGGCGATATCATTGCTGTTCTCCTCACTGTTGGGGTCTCGAAAAGGAAGGTAGCCCCCGTGGTAGACCACGGCCTGCACCCCCAGCTGCATGCCCTGGGGCGAGGCCTGGGCCACAGCACCGGCAAAGACCCGCCATCGAGACAGGACCCGGTTCCGCCTGCCAAGGGACACGAGGGAAGGGTGGTGGCCGGCCAGGCACGGCCTCACCGCCTCTCCCCCTGGTGGGTGCTGTGGGGGCACTCACTCTGGGAAGCAGTGGGCAGCTGTCAACACCCAGTCCCCGGAGAGCAGGGACCCACCGCAGAGGTGTGCACCGTCATAGCGCAGACTGACTTGCCAGGGCCACCTGCCCAGGCTGGTGTCCTGGCCTCCCACAATGCGGTCCACGGGCAGCTTCCTGCGGCCACAGTCTGTGGGGGAAGGCATCGGGGTGGCAGAGTGAGGTGGGAGCCCAACAGAGGTCTGGCCCTGGGTTCTGAGAGCCCAGGGCTCGTGATGGAGCGTCTGAGGACAGGAAGACCTGCCCCAGGGGACTGAGGGGACAGAGCCCGGCCCTGCCCCACCCTGCGGTCTGAACTTGACACATCCCCTTGGGAGACCTGCAGGGCCACAGCCCTGCCCTGGGGAGAGTCTAAGGGGCCATGTTCCCCCCTGGGGAGAAGCTAAAGGAAACAGTCTTGAGTTTGGGGGTCTCACCTTGGCACATGGTAGCCAAAAACCGGCCCCGGGGACAGTCACTGTGATGGAGAGAGGGACGAGGACACAGAAACAAAACACCAATTAGCCCAGACAAGAGGAAAATGAAGACCCAGGGGCCAGGGATTGTCCCCACCCCACCGCTGCCCTCCTCACCACACGGAGATGACGTCCAGCAGCCTCCGGGCGTGGGGCAGCCTGCCCTCGTCCACGCAGAAGAAGCCCGACGTGCCGTTGGCGCCTGCCGTCCGCACGTCCAGCTCCGAGTGGGCCAGGGCCCTGGGCAGGGCGGGGGTCAGACCTGCTCCTCCCGCCCCCAGCCCCACCCCCTGGGGCTCCCTGGTACCTGAGGAAGCCCATCTCCTCGCAGCCGAGCCCTGCCACCCTGGCGTTGGAACGCGAGGAGCACAGCAGCCGCCAGGTCCCCTCCGTCTGGTCAAACACCGTGAGCCGGGCGTCCACAGGGCTGGCCTGTACTGCAGGGTGACAGAGCCGGCCGCCTGGGTCCCACGGTCATGATCCTGACCCACCTCCCTGGCCACAGCCCCCCTGGCCTGTTAGGTCAGGTGGCTCCAGCCCCAGGCCTCACAGGGCCCAGGAGCAAGCGCAGGCGCTGAAGGGCAAGGAGCTGGGGCCACTAGCTGCTGGGCCCCGGACTCCGAAGCTGGCCACTGAAACTGGAGTGTTCGGGAGAGGGAGTCCTTTCCATGTCCCCAGTTTTCCAAAAATGGCTGCACCCATCACTCAGATGTTAAGGGCCTTCTTTGCCCCCGTGAGAAGAAGGGGCAGCTCATGTGGGGGAGAGCGGAGAGGTTTCTGGGGACATTTTTAAAGTCCCCAAAGAAACCCCAGAGTTGGGTGAGCTAATAAGTTTCCTGTTTGCTTAGCCAGTTCATTACTTGGTTTTGTCTTTTGCAGTCTGAAGACCCTTGACTAATACACCAGGTTCCTGAAACATTTAAATAAATATTCTAGGGTTAAGAGGAGGAGGAGGAGGAGGAGGAGGAGGAGGAGGAGGAGGAGGAGGAGGAGGAGGAGGAGGGAGAAGAAGGTTGGCTTTTCTGTGGGACTCATCAGAGCCTCCAATGCTAATTTCCCATTTAGGCAAAGCAATATGCATTCTTTCACGCATCAGACATTGACCACGCTCCAAGCCCAGTGGTGCTAGGACACAAGGATGACCAAGAGATGGCTCTGGGCTCTGCCATCACCAAGCCACCGAGTCTGGAGAGACAGGAATGAAAAAGTGGCCCGTGACATGAAGCAGGGCTGAGCTACCCAGGAGGGCGGCAGCGGAGCAAGCTCTTGGGAGGTGGTTCCGTTCTGGGCTGGGGGAGGGGGGGCAGTCTGTGTGGAGACTGATGTCCCCAGGGGCCCATCGATCGAGCCCATGCATCAGGGGATCCCTGATAGCACCTGAGCCGGGTCACAGCCCTCAGGTGCATTTCCTCTGTTTACCAAACACGCCGAGGTGCCAGGAGCTATTTTAGGCAATGAACACATCAGACAAACCCTTGCCCTGGTGCAGCCCAAAGCCCAGTCGGGGAGAGAGATAATAAACAGGATGAAGCAGTAAAATATGTCACATGTCACAACAGAAGAAGGGGTTATGCAGACAAAGGAAGCTGACGGGAGGGGACAGGCGTGAGGTGGCACATCTCAGTAGGTGGGCAGGGACAGCTTTGCAGAGAAGGTGGCATCTAAGGATCTGAGGGAGGTGAGGAAGACAGCGAGGGGACAGCAAATTAGGCCAAGGGACTCGCAAGCCAGAGCCCAGGGCGGGCGCAGGGTGGGGGCCGTGGGGGTGGGGACAACCCGAGATGGGATGGAGCCGGGCTTTGAGCTGGAACCAGGTGCAGCAGGGGGCTCAGAGCTGGAGGGCCCCATGCAGGCTCCTCTGATTGCAGGGGGGAGCCCAGGCGGGAGCCCAGGCGGGAGCAGGAGCCTGCGGTGAAGTCCAGGCAGGGGGCAGGGGCTGGGCCCAGGCGGGAGCAGGGGGCTGGGGAAGAGTGCGATTCTGGATAAGTTTTGCAGGTGGAGCTGACAGTCTGCTTTGGATTCACTTGTGAAAGTGAAGGCAAGAGAGGGGTCAAGGACAAGCCCTCAGAGCCACCAGAAGGATGGAGCTGCAGAGGTGGGGACGGGCCGGCGGAGGGGACGGGTTTGTGAAAACATGGGCTGTGAGCCTCTGTGTGCTCTCAGGAGCCTCCAGCGTGGCCCGATGGCACCTTCTGGGACACCGAGTCTGGTGATAACTGGCCTTTGACTTCTTCTAAGAGGAACCCGGTGAGGCCGCACCCAGGCGGGGCCTGCTTGGGTACCCACAGGTCTGAACCAGGGAAGGCAGGACTTCCAACAAGCACCTGCCCTGCTGAGGACCTACTGTGTGCCTGGCATTATGCCCACACTCTCCCTGCCCCGCCATCAACCCAGGCCTCGTAGCCACCAAATCACTGCCATTTTCCAGATGGAGAGGCTTAGAGAGATGGGCTGGCGCACCCAACACCACCAAGCCAGTGAGAGGCAAGGACAGGGCGGAAACCAGGCCCACCTAGTGACCACTTCCATGCCCGTCCCACCAGTCGGGGCGGGGGGGATTAGCCTAGGAAGGATACTCGTGCCCGGGAACACACAGCAAAGAACTGGCGAAACCAGGATTGGAACCCCAGACGTGCCGACCTTCAGTCCCCGCTCCATGTGGACCGGGCCTGACCCTTCCCTGGCTGCACTTGACTGAAAAGCTGTCTGGCTGGTCTGGTGTAATGATGGCCCCTCACGGGGGGTGGGGGGGTGGGGGGGTGGTACTCCTCTCCTCTGGGTGGTGCCCGCGGCTCCCTGAGCTCTGAGACCAGAACAGAGTTTGGGACAGCAAGGCAGGGGCGGTAGGGTGGAGGTGGAGTCTTACTTTTAAATGACGCCTAACTGTTCCAGAAATTTCCAGCAAGTGTGGGGTTTGAGAAAAAGGAATGAGTCTGTGGATGGGTGTTGCGGGAGGTGTGGGGAGCGGGGGAGGGGAGGGGGACAGCAAATGCCTCCTCCGGTTATTTTTAAAACCACAGTCTATGCGCCGCGTCTCACTTTGAAATGTTTTCTTCTTGTTTATATTATTTTAGGCAATGCCAAGAGTGCGTTCCGGGTCACCTGTGGGCCTCCTGCACCGTCTGACAGAGGCGGGAAACCCCACAAAACAAGGCAGGGATGGGGGGTCGTGTTGATTCACGATTCCCCAGGGTTCTGGAAACTGGCCAGATCCAGGTTTGAGTCGTGGCCAGGTGACTGTCCAGCTGAAGGCCCAGGACAGCCTAGCTCATCTCGGTGATCCATCCTGGTGCTATTTATTAAGCGACGATGTCCTGAGTGCCTACTGTGCGCCAAGCACTGCCTGACCAGTAAACAAAATGCCCCTGCCCGCTTGAAACACATCAGGAGTGGGAGCACGAGGTGGGTCCACGAGGACAGCAGGAATGGGACATCGGGGGGAGCAGGGGAGCCCCCACAGACTGGAGCCCAGAGAGTGCCAGAGGTCAGGGGGAGGTGGGGTGGACTGAGTCCCTCATCCTGGGAGCCCAGGAGCCTATGAGGTGGGTACTTCATCCTGCGACCCCCGGGGCTTTCTGCAAGAGCCTAATCTCATGTCTCTGCCAAGGAGTGGTCTCGGGTACGTCGGTTCACCTCACTGGGTGCCAGGTTCCCACAGCCCACACAAAACTCTAGATCTATGACAACTCCCAGCCCGTAGGCCTGTTGGGTAAAGGTTGTGGTTGGGACCTGGCATAGGTTACCTTTTACCATGACAACGAATTCAGCAGTTCCTTGACACACAATAGAGGGTGGGAGTCACCCACAGTGGCCACCCAGGGTGCAAGTCACAGCCCTGCCACCTACTAGCTCTGTGACCTGGGGTAAGTCCCTTGGCCAAAACGTGCCTTGGTTCCCCCATACAAACAGGGGCGCTTGGGAGGACTGAAAGAACGGGTTCGAGCTGGGTGCAGCAGCGCACGCCTGTAATCCCAGCAGCTCAGGAGGCTGAGGCGGAGGATCTTGAGATCAAAGCCAGCCTCAGCAACTTATTAAAGCCCTAAGCAATTCAGTGAGACCCTGTCTCTAAATAAAAAATAAAAAGGGCTGGGGACGTGGCTCAGGAATTGAGTGCCCCTGAGTTCAATTCCTGGTACCAAAAAAAAAAAAAAAAAGCTGATCCGGTCAAGCCCCAAGGTGCTCGCCTGACCCAGGCAAACGTCACCTAAGTGCCCGCCAGCAGAGGGGACGCTGATGCTGGCTTTTGGGGTCTGGAACTTCATTATTGCTCTTGGTGTGAACTGAATTCTTTAAGAAATCTGAGGAGGCCTGAAGATGTGAAAACACACTTCCCAAGCAAGTCCCCCTTTCTTTCGGCCGCCCTGGGGTCACACAAGGCATTAGGGCAGGTTCACTCCCTCATCCCACAGTTCGTTTCTGCATCTCCTGAGTGCTGTGGCGGGCACCCCACGGGCCTGCAGCCATGGCTACATCTGGCCAAGGTGAGCCACTCCGGGCCCATCATTACCAGCTGTGTCCTCTCTGGTACTCATTTCCCACATCTGGAAAATGGGCAAATAGTAGCCTGAGCAAACCTCACTCTCCTACCTCCTAGGGGAGTTAGAGGATCCCTGAATTCCCACTGTGCCTCCAGAACATGTGCTGACCAGGCCAGGCGGCGCAACGTGGTCCACGGGAGCGCTGCGGTCTGAGGCTAACTACATGACGGAGCCTCAGTTTCCCCATCTGTAAACTGGGGAGAATCACAGTCCTACCCTCACAGGGCTGCTGAAAGAGGCCACGGGATGGCATGTCGATGAATACACAAAATCCAAAGAAGAAAATGAACCACACTTTTTCCTACTGGGAGAGATGCACCCTGATATTTTCTAATCACTTTTAAAAAGTGGGAGTTTCCAACTCCCTAATTTAAATCCCTCGTGCACTCAGGAGTGAGCCATTTGGAGCCTGAAAAACACTGGGTTGGACAAGGGACAGACTTATTAAAACATGCCTGGGACAGCTGGCACTCGATACAAATGCACTATTATCATTAGCGTTTCCGCGTGCACTGATACGTTCACTCAAAAATACTTTTATTGAGCCACATCCCCGCAGGTTCCTCCAGGGACCCCCAGAGGGTCCTGGCTGCTGTACTCACCCGGATACAGCGGCTCCTGGTCACTCCTGAGTAGAAGAGTCGCTGCAGAGAAGGCGGAGGTGAGGGCAGGCATCGGGGGCCGCAGGGCCAGGGGAGGTCAGAGGCACAGGGACCACTCTCACCGATGGCCCAGGACGCTGCCCCGATGCCCGTCAGGAGGAGGAGGGTCCCCACAATGAGAGCTGCCACCTTGGGTCCGGAGCAGCATGGTACAGTCCGGCCACCTGCAACAGACACCATGCTGGGGCCACTGCCAGGCCTGTCCCCGTTGCCGCAGGGTCCAGGCACCGGGCCAGCACTGCCCTGTCCCCCAGGGCTAACTTGTCACCACTGAGCCTGCTGTGCCCTGGGGCCGAGAATGGGCAGGGCGGTCCCTCCCCAGCCAGGTGGACAACCAGGTGTCCAGCTCCCCAAGGGCTCCAGCTGGGGAGGGGCCACGGCTGGGCCCGCTGCCACTACCCTGGCACTCCTCTGGCTCTTAGGGGACTCCTCCTCCCAGGTGCACTGAGCTTTGGCATTTCTGTTGTCACTTTGTGCCCCCTGACCTCTCTCTTCGGCTGACTTTTCCAGGGGCTCCTGCAGCATCAGGGCTCATGATGCTGATTTCCCCCTCCCCCCGTTGCTTGGGAGACCCCCCCAGCCCCCAAACCCAATGTGGTCCCTGGAAGTTGAGAACCGAAGTTTGGAAAGTTGCCAGCCTCACTCTTCTGGCTGGAATCTTGGGCAATGGCACCATTTCTTTGAGACTCGGTTTCCTCATCTGTTCAGTGGGCATCCACCCAGCACCCACTTCTAAAAACGACACTTTAGAGTCCTTTTAAATAATACTGAGCCAACTCATTTTTCTCTGTGCGCCGAGCACTGTTCTAAACACATCAACTATTCCGTCTGCGTATCAGCCCTGCATTGCGATGCCCACTTTTCCTACGGCTCAGAGAAGTCAAGTTACATGCCCAGTGTGACTCAGCCTGCAAAGAGGCAGAGCTGAGATCTGAACCCTGGGCAGACTGGGTGCCAGGACCAAAGTACATAACCATGAAGCCTCTCATTGTGCCACTGGCATACAGCAAGTGTTCAGTACATGCTTGAGACCTCCTTAGAGTTGTGTGGTCCTCGCAATGCTCTTCACCCCTCTGAGCCTCTGTTTGCGTGGGTAAAATGGAGCTTGAGCCTTACTGAGCATCCTCTGTGTCCCTAGCACCACTCTAGGCTCTGGGAGCAGAGGTTAAGACAGACAGACAAGAGGATGGCTCTCACGGGGTGTGAGTTGGGAGCGGGGATGCCCGCAACTAAACATGAACCTGATAATTTCCAGATTGTGGCAAAGGCTATGAGGAAAATAATGGAGGTGGGGGGCTTCTCAAGGGGGATGAGGTTCCCGAAGAAGAGACTTTGAGCCAGGTGCAGTGGCGCACACCTGTAATCCCAGTGGCTCAGGAGGCTGAGAAAGGAGGATCCCGAGTTCAAAGCCAGCCTCAGCAACTTAGCAAGGCCCTAAGCATCTCAGTGAGACCCTGTCTCTACATAAAATACAAAATAGGGCTGGGGATGTGGCTCGGTGGTTGAGTGCCCCTGAGTTCAATCCCCAGTACCAAAAAAAAAAAAAAAAGTAGAAGAAGAAAAGAAGACTCTGGAGCTAGACCAGAATGCAAAGGCAGCCATGCGAGGACATCAAGGAACAGCATGGTGGGCAGAGGGAACAGCATGGGCAAAGCCAGGAGGCAAGAACAAGCTCACTGTGTTAGAGGGCTAGAGAGGCCCTGGAGGAGGCCAGAAGGGCACAGGCTTAGGGAGGGCAGTGGGAACCAAGGCCCGGGCCAGCTAGGGAGGCCTCGTGGCCCAGAGGAGGGAAGAACTGTATTTCCAGTGCACAGAGGTCCTGGAGATCAAACGCCAACTCGCCCACTAGGGATTCTAGGAGGACCAAAGGAAAAAGACCACTAATGGCCTGGCCCTGGCCCTGTCTTGGGCTCCGCTGCCAGAAAGTTCTCTCAGGGCTTCAGGAGCTCCCAGCTCCCTCGTCCGTGTCTGGGGTGGCATGTTTGGTGGGCAGAGTGCCAGGTCAGTACCCGGAACAGAGCCGGGAGTGGTCCAGGACCTTCCGGGGAGAGTCATTGTTTGGGTGGCTCCCACCCAGCATCAGGAAATGCTGCATCCCTCCAGGAGGCGCTGGGCAGGGGCGACCCAGCTCAGCCCCTGCCTGTCCTGGTGACGGGTGGGGAGGGCTCTCAGGCCTGTCCCCACGCCCAGCTCGGCCTCTGACATCTTCCTGATTCCAGGGGAGTGTCTTGGCTTCCTGCATCTACAGGCTCCGGGCCCTTTGTCTCGGGGTGTGCCTGCCAGGGGTGCAGTCTGCACAAGACCTAGAGGCTCTGATGTATCTGGGGGGACAGCAAGCAATGCCACCTGTGTCTCCTAGGGTGACAAGAAAGTACCTGCTTCCACGCTAGGACTTTGAGCACCTCCAAAATAGGTCCCTCTGGTGGGACAGGCTGTGTCCTAACCTGGGTCCCCTGGTGAAAGAGACACCCTTCCTGGGTATCTTTTCTGGGACAAGATGCTCTCTGCTCCTGCCATTGAGAGGTGACATCCTCAACATCACAATCTCTGGAAGCTATGGGGCTTTGTGTTCTGCAGGTCGGGTCTCTCCTGGCCCCACTGTTCCCTGAGACTCTCTGCTCTGTTTCTCGGGGCGTCCCCCAGCGGTCCCCCAGCTTCTCTCCGGATGGTTCTGCCTCCACTAAAGGTGACATCTTTGTGACATCTGTCGAAACCCCTCTCTTACATGACCTGGACTTCCTGCCTGAGATGCTCCCTCTCTGGAGACAACACACACACTGTGTTCCTGGGACCCCTCCAAGGCTCTGCCTCCAGGCTCTCTGTCCACTCCCTGGAATCCAGATTCCTAAGATGGCCGTGAGCTCCTCCCTCTCTCTCCTCCTGGGTCTGACGTCTGTCTCACCTGCCTCTGTGGCCTCAGTTTGCACTCTGTGTCCTCAGCCCTGGACTGGGTTCTGAGCCCCGGGTCAGGGGTCCTGCAGCCTCTTGGACACCTTCCCCTGAAACCCCCTAGTTTCTTCTCACCCCCCAGGTCCCATATGGCCCCAAGGTCTCCCCAGATCTCCTCCTCCTCCCAGGTCCCGAGGCCCTCACCCCAGGACTGGCCCTCAACTGGAGGACACTTCCTTCTCCCTAAAGCCTGCCAGTTCCTCCAGCCTGGCCAGTCCTCCTAAGTGACCCTCCTGTCCACCCTTCCTTCCCTTCCCCTGGTCCTGCCTCAGTTCAGCCCCATCCAACCACCGAGCTCTGTCTCCCCTTCCAGTCTCTCTCCACAAGGAAGCCTGGGGAACCTTCCTAAAATGCCAAATCCAACCTGTCCCTTCTTAACCTAGAACCATCCATGACTCCCTAGTGCCCCCAGAATGGAGGCTAAGTCTCTCGGCCGGACGTGTCCAGCCCTGCAGGATATAAGTGTGGCTTTTTGAGAGTTGAGGGTTGGATGTGTTTCCCCAAATTCCAAACAGCGCTCGGCTCCCTATGGTACACCTCCCAGAGCTTCCTAGAGCCAGGGGAGCACAGAACTCATACCACCAACTAGAGGCACGAAGCGTTGCCGCCAGCGCCACCTTGTGGAGAGACCCAGCACTGCCAAGGAATCCCCCTGCTCCTGACCCAGTGGGGACTGAGCCTGGTCCAGTGGCAGCACTCACCTCCCCCACAGCTTCCTTTCCTGCATCACCTCCAGAAACATCAGCACTAGCTGCGCTCGCTGTGTCGCGGGGCAGTCTGCCACCCGGGCTGCAGCCGCGTTCTTCCCCTCCTGGCACACGCTACCTACCCCTCCTCATCCTTTGAGTCTGAACTCAGGAGTCACCTCCTCGGATTCCCCAGTCCCCAGAAGCACTGAGAGCCTTGGGCACACGTTACTGTCATCCTGTTTACTGATGAGGAGAGGAGTCCCAGAGAGGCACAGACACCCACCCCCGTGACCCAGCAAGCAGGTGCGGCATCAGAACCCTTCAGATCCAGAAAGAAGAAATTGTCTCAGAGGAGCCAGGCTCTGTCACCCACCTGCTCAGCTGATCTGGTTCACTCTGAATGGCAGCTGAATGGTTGGGATCTGAGGGTCTGAGTGGCTGTCTACACTGAGACTGAGACCTGAGGAGGCCAGAGTCTGGGCTAGTCATGTCAGCCAGTACCCTCATGCCATGCTGTGAGGTATACGAATGCCATCTCCATTTTACAGAGGAAACTGAGACCCAGAGAGGGTAAGCTATTTGCCCAGGGCCACACAGCTAGAAAGCGCTGCTGTCTGGGACTGAATGCAGGTAGCCTGGCTCCAGGAAGAAGAGGAGGAGTCAATCCCAACTGGGGTAGGGTTGGAAGAAAAGACTGCCCTTTCAGCTGGGTCCCCAAGTGTGGAAGAGGCTGAGAGGGAGGCGGGCTGCCTAGAGCCCTTGAATGCCATCCACTCCACGGGGTGGCTTCTCTCCAGCATCCCCAGGGTGACTTCTCACCTCCTCTTCTCTCTCCATCCATCTGGGCTGAGTCCAAAGTCCTCCCTCTGCTCTTCTGCCCACAGAGCCAGGCAGTAGGAGGAATGTGAGGACGCACTGGGGGTCCTGAGTCCCTGGGACTCCGAGTCTCCCAACCTCTGTCCTGACAGCTGCTGTTTATGGCACCCGTCTTACATCCTGAGCCCCCATGCGGGTGCCTTGTGTGTCCCATGCTCCCTGTTACCTCAGGGAGGGAGTATTGGACCCACACTTGACCCCGGGGGCAGGGGAAAAGGGGACTGAAGTGCAGAGAAATGCTGTCAGTTGCACAAGACTACATAGCAAAAAAGTGGCCGGAGCAAATTCAAGTGCAAGGCCCGTGTGTTTGACCTTAACATCTGGGCCCTTAACCACGGCAGCAGAGCAATGTCCTGTCCCCATGTCACCATCCCCCCAGTAGAGGACAGGCTCAGGGTGAGCTGAGAAATCACTGGGGGTGAGGGGAAACTGAGGCAAGGTGCCAGGAAGGTCATCCGGGGTAGCAGGGAGCCAGGGGGTGGCACAAGTGCACAGAACACGGAGTTAATGGTTAATCAGGTGGACGAGGCTGCAGAAGGGGGTGGGGACGGGCTTGGGAGGGGGGACCAGAGATGGGGGCTCCATGGGGGTGGAAGGTTGAAGAGAAAGCACAGCAGAAGGGCACCAGGCAGAGCCCAAGTGGGGGCTCAGGAAAGGGGGGGGACTCACCCTCCTTCTCAGCCATGTCACAGCCTCTTGTTAATGATTCCCCGGCTGACCTCCTGGGCCAGGGTGGGACCTGTGGGGAGATGAACAGGGAGGCAGGGCCTGGGGGAGCCCAGCCCAGCCCAGCACTGGCGCCCCCAGTCCCAGGCGTCCATCCAGGGAAGCTGGAGGGACTGGGCTCTGACCAGAGCATGCCATGATCACGGAGGCAGATTGGGCTGGGTTCAAGGATGGGGTCAGTGTCTGACCAGTGCCACGGGGACTCCTGGAATTGAAGGGCTGAGGACCCCCAGACCTGAGCCTGGGGTGCAGGGGTGCGGGAGCCAGGCGGCCGGGTGTGATGGACCCGGGTCGGAGGGAACCGGGATTGGAACCCATGGGGTCTGAGGGAAGAGAGGGCGGAGGGGAAGCAAGAATTTGGGGGCTGGACTCCCGAGTCTGAACATGGAGAAACCTGGGGGCCCAATCTCCAAGTCTGATGGGAGAGTGTGCTGGAGTCCTCGGTCCTTGGGAAGAAGTTGGACAGTCATGTTTGGGGTGCTTGGGAGCCCCTGGATTGGGAGGTGGGCATCGAATTGGGTAGGGGCGAGGGGACCCCTGTCCTGGGGTTCCTGGTCCTTACCCTGGGGTCCAGCAGGTGGGGGAAGAGCCTGGAGATGGTGCGGTTGAGGGTCAGTCTCCAGGCCGGGGCAGCGGCATGGTGGCCCCGCAGCGGGCGGCCGGGGAGGCAGAGGCGGTGGCGGCGGTGGCGTGGGGCCTGCTAGGCCAGGCGGCCTCACCTGAGGAGCAGGGGGCTGGGCGGGAGGCGGGGGAAGGGGCGGGGAGGGGCCGGGCCCGGGGATTGGCAGCCCCAGAGGCCACCTGGCTGGTGGGGCCGGGCGGACAGGGGCTGGACCAGGCAGCCCCAGCAAACCCGCCCGACTGGAGCTCCAGAGGGGCGCAGGGGCGCGGCAGCGAGGCGGCCAGGGGTGATGGACCCGGATCCGAGGGAACCAGGTGGAAGGGCCTGGCTGTCCCAAGCCCACTTTGCCACTGCCACTTCTCCTGCCCGGCCCATTCCCTGTCCCTCACCGGTTCCAGCCTCAGCCCCCTCCCTTTTCGGAGCCACTTTCCGTCCCCTAACACCTGTCGCCTCTACCCCTTCCCTGTCCCTGGCCCAGCGCGGCCTCTGGCCTCTGCCGCATGGTCCTGCTCAACCCGCCAGCCCCCTCCCCCAGCTGCTTTCCTACAAGTCACGGGGGCTGGTTTGCTTTGGCAGCCTCCCTGCCGCCTGCCGTGGTGACCTCTGGAGCCGGGAAAGTCCTAGGTAGGGGGATGGGGGCTTGGCCCGGAAAAGGCTACACTGAGTGCTGAGGCCCAGGCCAAGTGGCCGGAAGTGGCCAGAGCAGATACACGCTGTCCCGCCAGCAACCAAGAGCCATCCACGTCAGACCCCAGGCCAGATCAACACCCAGACGGGCCAGGTCGCCAGCAGCCACTTGCCTGCCATCAGACCAGGGCGGCTCACCCCAGATCTGTTGTCCCCGCACAATTAGGTCCACCTGCTCACCCTCACAGGTCCCCTGTCCAGTCCAACCCACAGACCCCAGCCTCGGACCTGCCCAGCGGACACTGGTTTCGCCTGCCTGGAGCCGGCCCCCAATCTCTCTCCCTGCACCCCCAAGGCTCAGAGGCTCCTCCTTGCTGGCTCGGGCTTCCCCTGCGTCTCAGCCCCCACTAAGTTAATGACTCCCCTCAACCAGGCTTTAATCAAGTTCTAAGTGGCTCCATAGGCTCCCCACTGAGTCCCTAACTCCCTGAGGTCCCCTCTGCCTCCCCGGAGGGAGGATCCTGGGGCAATCTAAGGCTTTCGGACTTGGGGGCCTGGCAGAGCGGGTGCCTGGGCTCACTCACGAGACAGACGGGGAATCAAGTCCAAGAATCTTTATTTCATGAACAAAACTACTTCTGTAAAGAGAGACGAGGCAGAATGGGCCCCTTTCTAAGTGGCCACGATCCAAGGCTGGTGAGAGAGGGCGGGTGGGGCCGGGGCAAGAGTGCATTACAGGGACAGGGGACCCCAGGTCCAGCCGGAGGAAGCAGGAGGGGAAATGATGCTGGGGTCGCAGTGGGTACCAGAACCACCTGCCCCAAACTGTTCCAGCCCATCACGACCCCTTCCCCCCCCCCAGGGCCGGGCAGGGACGGGGCAGGGACAGGCTGGGCCCAGCAGTGCACGTCCAAAGCGGCCGATGTGTGCAAATCAGCAAGAAGAAGAGGTGCGGAGCCGCTGCCCCCGCCTCACCGACCCCTCCCCAAACAGGCAGCAGAAGCAGGGGGAGGGGCAGCGGCAGTATTGCTTTACCCATCATGCATGGCGGTGGGTGGGCAAGGGGCAGGAGGAAAGAAGGCCGAGTTGGGGTGTGAGCCGAGCCAGTCCCCCTGCCCCTCCCTCCCTGGCGGCTCTGTTGGCAGGACTCTGAGGCTCGTGGAGGCCCAGGAATGGCCAGCCCCCTCTGGGGGCAGGCTGTCCCCCATCAGGGCGGAGCCCAGGACCTAGAGGGGAGGGACAGATAGGGAATTAGGGACCCAGTAGGCCAAAACTCTGGGGGACCCCGAGTCCCTGTCCACCCGCCTTACCAGGGCTATTCGGCCACCTGGACGCCCGTACAGTTCTCTTTGCTTTCAGAGGTGATGGCCAGGTACTCCGAGCTGTGGGGGAAAGGCCAGGTATACAGTGACCCCATCACCAGTTGGCCCCCCTCCCAGGAGAATGAGGAAGGATGAGGCCTTTGCCCCTGAGTTAGAGGGGAGGGGGCTGTGGGCCGGACTCCCGAGTTTAAGGGAAGAAGGATCTGGAACCTGACAACCTGCTCCGGCTCTGGGGAGCACAGACAGGTGGCACCCTGGCTTGCTGTCTTGCCCCCACCCCTCCCATGCAGCTCCCACCCACTCCAGGAAGTCTGGAGGTGCCTCGGTGGCCTTGGCCGTCCCCTCCTACCCCACTCACGCATTCTCTTGCGCAGCGGCCTCCGTGGCAGCCGCGATCTTCTTATAGCAGTAAACCATCTCTGCCACAAGCCATATGGTCAGTACCACGATGAGCACGTACATCATGATCTCAGACACGATGGACGCCATGTCTCTGTTGGCTGCGGGGACCAGGTGGGGTTCAGATGGCAGCTGAGGCACCTGTCTCCACCTTAGGAGACAAGACACCTCCAAGTGTGTGGCGCACTTGCTGTGTGAGCTAGACCAAGTGGCTTGACCTCCCTGGGCCTGGGCCACACACAGGACCATCATGTTCCTTCCCCAGAGTCCTCGCTGTTACTCTGATTAACAACCAGGCTCAGATGGGCCTGGAGATCACCCTCAACTGCCTCCCTGTGGAACTTCAGCGAGCGTCCGACACTCGAAAGGCTTGGGTTCCAACCCTGGCTTGGCCACTCGTCCGCTGTGTGACCTTGGGTAAGTGACTCGACCTCCCCGGACCTCCATTTCCCCATGTGCAAAATGTCCATAACCACAATACCTCCATGGAAGTGCTGTGAGAATTAAATAAGCTTTAAAGATGCTTAGACTAGTCCTCCACCTATCAAAAACACTCAAAAAAAAAAGTCATTTTATTATTATTACTGTTACGATTGGGGCAGTACTGCGTAATGCTTAGGAGAAGAGAGTCCAGACACAGACAGCCAGAGTGCAAATCCTGCCTCTTACTAGCTGTGCAACCTTAGGCCAATGACTCCACCTCTCTGAGTCTTGATGCCCCCTCTGTAGAATGAGGATGATACTAATACCCTCTCCAGGGGTTGCCAGGAAGAGGAAATGAGTTAACACCCATCCCTGCCATGCTTGGAGGACTTGCAAAACCACCGCGAAGTGTTGGCGACTTTCCGGAAGCCCTACATCCTTGCTGCAGCGCTGGCCCCTGCCTCTGCCAGCTTCCTTTCATTGAGCCTAAATTTAAACTGCAAAGGGAACACATTCAGCCAGGGGACCAGAGTCACAGGCCACTTTGGCGTCCTCAGCCGGATATCACAGGTGTCCATCCATGCACATCCCTGGTCCCCTCCTGGGTGGCCGGGACCTCTTTCCCCGGCTGCTGTCCTCGTGGGCTCTTCCTCCCTGAGAGCCTGGCCCCTGCTCCGCCCCACCCTGTGCAGATGGCACTGAGGCTTTTCTGGGCTGGAAGGAGGGAGGGGGCGGGGCTGGACTCTCCCCTCCCCCCCCTGCAGGGGAGCCTGGAGGAGCTTCCAGGACTCACCCCTCCACGGTCCAGCAGGATGGCCCGCTCCTGGCCGGGCTCTGCGCTGCTTTCGTCTTAGAGTCTCCCTGGCCCCCGGAAAGGCCCCCAGGCTGGGGTTGCCCAGGCTCCCCATGGCCAGGAACCACCTGAGCCCCTCACTGTCTGAATACATCTCAGTCCCTGGAATCTCCCCCCTGTTCCTGGAGCTCTGTGCCCACAAAGATCTAGGTTAACAAGGATCCAGTCTTCCCTCTCCCAGTCAGATTGGGTCGGGGAAAGGCACGAATCTGTAGCCCGCTTCCAGACCAGGCTGCTGAGGCCCAGAGAAGGACAGGTGCTAGGCCAAGGGCACTCGGAGCCAGGAGCCAGCCTCGAGTGCAACCACACGCAGGGCTAGAGCTCCACTCTGTAACCCTTCCACGACCAAAGAGGGGGGTCACAGCTGCGGTTCACAAACACGGTCTCCATGAACCCCCGCGGACATCTCAGGAGAGGGCTGGGACTGCCACTGGCCCACTTTACAGATGAGGAGCCAAGGCAGAAGAGTCACACACAGGGCCACAGGCACCTTCTCTGGGGAGGCCTTTGATCTCTTAAAACACCCCAAACTTCTCGAGAGCTTTGCGGGCCCTGCCCACATAGGGAGTCCCAGATCTGAAACCCTGGTGCAATTCTGCAGGCCAGATGGTCCCCAGTTTGCTTTTGTATTTGGTACCAGGGATTGAACCCAGGGGTGCCTAACCACTGAGCCACATCCCCAGCCCTTTTTATATTTTATTTAGAGACAGGGCCTCACTGAGTTGCTTAGCACCTTGCTAAGTTGCTGAGGCTGGCTTTGAACTTGCGATCCTCCGGCCTCAGCCTCCTGAGCTGCTGTGATCACAGGCCCAGCCCACAGCCCCCTCCTTTGGACCTGACTCAGTTCATTCCTCAGGGGCCACTACCAGGAGGCAATACAGGTTGATTGCTAATCCTGAAAGTGGAGTAAGACAGAAAACAGGAATGATTTTTAAGACATGAGACGGCCGGGAATGCCAACAATACAGAGATATCATCAGTAATGGAAAAATACTACAGTGGGGTAATCATGTTGACTCTAGCACCATGGGTAGTGCTGAGCGCAGGGCAGCACCACAGGTGATACTGAACAGTACTACAGGGTCACCAAAAATGTCTTTAAGCACCGGAGCACAGCATGGTGGGCAAGGATGACAACACAAGATCATGGTGGGAAATGTCCCACAGACTCTGGCATGATAGAGAATGACAAGAAATGCATGGTCTAGCCGGGCCTGGTGGTGCGTGCCTGCAGTTTCAGCAACTCAGAGGCTGAGGCAAGAAGATGGCAAGTTCAAGGTCAGTTCAGCAATTGAGCAAGACCTTCTGCAATTTAGTGAGACGCTGTCTCAAAATAAAGAAATAAAAATAAAATAAAAATTTAAAAAAGGACTGGGGATGTAGATCAGCAGTAAAGCACCCCTGGGTTGAACCCCCAGTACCAAAAGAAAAAAAGAAGCAAACAAATCCCCCCAAAAAACAGTATCATAGAGAGTACAAAATAAAATACTGGGGGTGGGGGATGTAAAAAGCCATACTCTAATAGGGTGGATAGGAAGCACTAGAATACGGTGTTAATGCTAAAACATGGACTTCCAGAAGACAGCACAAAGGACTCTATGTTGTGTTAAATACTGTTAAAAACGTAGGCTCTGGGAGGCGGCATGATAGGGTAGATTATGTGAGGAAGAGCACTGTTCCCAGGGTACGGGTGGGCCTGTGCTAAGCAGGTGAGGACAGCTCTCGGAGCAAGGGTCCATGGCCAATTTGGAAAAAGCCAGGGGACAACATTTCCTGGAGCCTCCCCACCTGCCTCCCCCTCTCCTGGGCACTGATTCCTGGTAGAGGAATAAGCCAGGTTTTGTAGAGGCCGGGAGGCCGGGCATCTTTGTCAGAGTCGCTCAGCTCTATCCCCTGCGTCACTGATGACTCCATCTTCCGTGTCCAGGGCTGACCACCCACCCAACACGGTGACGTGGGCCACCGAGTGGCTCATGTACATCTTCTGAACTGCCTTCTGCTGATCCACTTGGATAGGAAACGTAAAAATGCTAATTATATAAAGAGTCCCGCAGGCTCTGGCTGACGAGGGAGTGCGGTGATTCATGCCAGGAACGGAAACGATCGTCACCCAGGAGCGGCTGGGTTCAGATCCAGGTCCTGACTCTGTCACCTTGGCCGTGAGATCTTCCCTCCCTGAGCCTCTGCTTTCTCATCTGCAAAATGGGGACACGAGAACCCCTGGCCCCGAGGGTGGGCGGGAGGGCTCAGGGAGGGACTTCCTGGGAGGCACTCAGGCCAGCACGGTCTCCTGGAGAGGGAGCGTAAAGCATGCAGTCCGTGATGCTGTGTGTGCTGCGGTCCCAGGGGACGGACTTGCCATGGCTCTTTGCTGGCTCCAGGCCTAAAGTAGCTTCCTGACTAAGCCAGTGAGCCACAGGGCCCTGGAAAATTCCAACTCATGCCAATCAGAGCACGGGCCAGAGAAGGGGTGGAGCTCCTGCAGAGCGGGGGTCTCAGGCAGCTGAAGCGGAACCCTTGAGACGGTGGACAAACCCCGGAGACCCTGCTGCCCACACTGGGGCCCCCAGCCCTATGGCACCCACCCCCCACCTTCAAAAACGCACTAGAGACGACTGTGGGCCCACCCAGATCTGCTGAGTCAGGCCAGGCACCTGAACAAGCCGCTGGTGGCATATGAGGCGCTCTCCTCTGGGTGACATCCTCTGCCAGGTCAGACCCAGGCAGGACCAAGGCTATGGGCCATCAGAACACGACCCTTGTCCTCCAGCACCAGGCCCCGCTGCGAGCCAGGCGCAGGACAGCAGCCGGTCTCCAGCCCCGTGCTCAACCCTCATAACTCCCGAGACATCAGAATGGCTCAAAGGACACCCCCAAGCGGGGTACTCCTATCATCTCAGAGACTACTCTGTGGCCCAGAGACAAGAAGGTACCTGCAGGAGGTCACACAGCACAGGCCACCAAGCTAGGTTTGGTACCTACAATGTCTGTGGGGAGGAGCCTGCTGTGACCTCTCCGGTGGGGTGAGGGGAAGAGGAGACCAGAGCTGGGGGGGCCGCACAGGGGGACTGGGGGACAGACACGGACATGGACACAACGCTCCCGCTATTGCTGTGGGCGGTTGGCTGGCCCAGGCACGGAGCCAGCCCGGCCCCTATCTGCCATCTGTCCCTCCATCTGGCTCACGGTGGGCCACGGGGCGAAGGGGCAGGCAGGGCCCACTCACCTTTGTCCACCACCTCAAGGTGGATCTTTTTGACAACGCTGGTGTTGTGCTCATAGTTCTCAAAGAACAGCAGGCGGTAGACATGGCATTCGTAGTCACCTGAGTGGTTGTAGGTGACATTGGTGATGAAGATGGACAGGTCCTGCAGGTCCTTGGTGCCCCGGCTGCCATTCCACACCACGCGGCCCTCAAAGCGCTCGTCTTCCTCCAGCTGCAGCACCTCGTTCTCGTAGCGCAGGATCTGGGGGTGGTGGGAGGGGGTGTCACTGCCTGGGCCCGTCTCCCCCAGCCCCGTCCCGTGATTCTGTCCCCTGCCATGACACAGACGGCACACACATGGACTCAGTCACCTTAACCTCGGGCCAGATGGACGCAGAGGGGCTGGGATCACACCTGGGACAGCTGAGACCTTGACTTTGCCTCTAGTCCTGAGGTACATGCACCCTCCGTCACCCTCCCAAGCCCCTCACGGTCTGCCATCCTTCCCCAGCCTCTGGACACGCACTTCAGGCAGGGACAGGGCAGCCTGATCCCAGCTTCTGTGGACCCCAGTTCTCTAGTGGTATCACATACCCCCACCACAGGCAATTCCAAACACAGAGGATAAAGGTTAAAAAAAGAAGAAGAAAAAGAAAAAAAGTTCTGTTTTTTCTCGCTGATGACTATTCACAACATTTTTGCTGATGCCAAATAATTCCAGGGACCTTTATTTCATGCCAGTCATATGCCAAGTGCATTTATCCCTCACACAGCTCTATGGGCAGGAGACCCCTGCCACCCCATCATTACAGAGGAGGAAACTGAGGCTCAGAGAGGACCAGGGACTTGCCCAAAGGCACCAGCTGGTCAGTGGTGGAGCCAGAATTTGAATCCAGGTCATCACTCCTAGCCACATTGTTATTATTAAGACAACCCCTGCCTCCAGAGCCAGCCCCACCAACTCTGCACACAGCCCTCCCGTGGCCACCCCAGGCACCCACACACCTTGACAAACTCCTCAGTGCCCTTCTGGCGGAAGGTCCACTCGGTGAAGGTCTCTGCGGTGGTCTCACTTCGACGCTTGCACGAGATGCACAGTATTTTGAAGGTCATCCCATACACAGCCTCAGTCTCTGAGTCCACCTCCACACAGCCCCCCCAGGCCGAGGACACTGTGGGGACAGCAGGCTCAAGTCGAGCAGAGGCACCAGTCACCCTAGGTGATGCCCGGCTCACTGGCTGCTGACTCCCAGGGCCTTCAGAAACCATCTGGTTCCCCTCAGCAGTGATTACAGATCGACGGACCCATGTGCCAAGCAGGTTCTGCCTCTCCCTCCCAGTGTGACCTTGGCCAATCACTCAGCTCTGAGCCTCAGTTTACCTCTCTGTTTAGTAAAAGAACTGATCATCTTTGTTTCTAGTAGTTGTGCAGAATCCTAAGGAGGTCCAGAAAACAGTTCTGTCAATGTGGTCAGTAACTCAGCCTGTGCCACCCAACTACCCCTGGCTCAGAAGGTCCCTTGCCCAAAGCACCAATGCATCCAGGTGGCCGGACGAGAATTCCAGCTGCTTTTCAAGTTCAAGACGGCAGAGCCTTTTCCACCACCGACTGCTGTGCAAAACCAGTCATGGTTTAAGACAAGGGATGGCTTCAGGAGGTGAACCCACACTCCAGCTCTGCTCCCTCCTTCCACAAGCCCCTGTGAGCCACCCCCTCTGTCCCCTCTGCCCCAGGCTTCCTCCCCTCCAGACCTCCACCCCATCAATTAGTTTCTCAAAAGCTCTTTCCTCCCTTAGGGCCTTGCACCTCCACTGTATCCAGGCCGTTTGGGTCCCTCCTTCCCCTCTTACCTGCCACCCCCTTCCTGCCTCCCAGTGCTCTCCAGCTAAAGCTGTGTCTCCAGCTTCAGGTCTGGGTCTTTTCCTGGTCCCTGAGTCTCCTCCTCTCTGTATCTTCAGAGATTCTTGTCTGCTCCCCTGATGTCTCTGTTTCCCAAGCTCCTCTTTGGGGTCTCTCTGAAGGTCCTGACTTTATGACTTCCTCTCCTCTTTGTAGGCTCAGAGTCACTCTGTGGCCACCTTTGGATATTTCTCCCTTTTTAAATTCCTCCCCGCATTCTCTCCCTGGTCTGTCTCCATCTCCCTCCCTCATCTCCCCATCTTCTGCCTCTCTTCAAGTTTCTCTCTCTACCTTGCTTACACACTTAACTCACTCTCTCTCTCTCTCTTTCTCTCTCTCTCTCATCCCTTGGTCTCCCACTCTAGCCCCACATCCCCAGTATCCCAGAGGAGCACTCGATGTCCTTCCATGTCTCTGGCCTCCTCCCTCCCGTCTCCATCTCTCTCAGTCTCTAGTCCCAGTCTCCGGGCGCCGCCTTCCCCCCCCCCCGCCCTCCCGCGGCTGTGGGTGTCACATTGCAGCCTGCGGGGCTCTGGGAGCAGCTGACTCCGCGTTTCCTCGCCCCCGGCTGGGCGCCCGCAGCGGCGAGGCCGTGCCAACCGGGTCCCCGCCGGCTCTCGCCCACCGCGCTTCCACCGCCCTCCGGGGCCCCGCTCCCCGCGCGCACAACTTCTGAAGCGGACTTCGCGGGGCCGGGGATGGGCAGGGGGCGGCCCTGGAGCGTCCGCCGGGCGTCCCGAGCGCGAATCCCGCAATCCCGCCAGTGCCCCGGCTGCGTCCCTAGCCGCGCCCGCCCCCAGCGCACTCACCCAGTGCCGCGCCGACCACGAAGGCCAGCAGCGTCCCCATCGCTGCGCTGCGCACGCTGCGCCCCCCTCCCGGGCCGCCGGTATTAATAGCGGGGCGAGCGGCGGCGGGCCCGGGCGGAGGTTCGAATGTCCCCGGGAGCGCGCGGGCGCAGCAGCTGCGGCTGTGGGACCGGCGAGGGGGAGGAGGGGGGGCGCGGCCCCCCCGCTCCGGTTACCGCCGGGGGCCCAGCCCCGGAGCCCGGCGTCCGGGCATCCCCGCCGCGCGAGCGGCGGCCGCTGCTCGGGCTGCTGCGCTGGCGCGCACAGCCGGGCGCATCCGCCAGGTGCACCGACCCCGGCCCGGCTCCGACTCGGGCGCGCTGGGGCGCGGACAGCGGTCTCCTGCGCACTGCAGCGGCGGCGGCGGCGGCGGCGGCCCGGGGAGGGAGGAGGGAGGAGGGAGGAGAGGGAGAGGGAGGGGGCGGGATGAATCACCGCGGGGGGAGGGCGCGGCCGCCCAGCCTTTGCCGCAGCGGCCCGGGAGGCGCCCGCTGCGCTGGCCTCTCCGGTGGCGCAGGGACCGCAGCTTCTGGACGCGGGGACGGTGGTCTGTGTGTCTGCGACCCCGCCCGACTCCGGGGATCCCTCATCTTCCGAGTCTGAGAAAGGTCACCTCCGGACACACAAGAGGACTTAGCGAGCAGTTTGGGGAACGGACGGGCTCTCCAAAATATGGATGGAGGTCATCCTCATGAGTTCGAGGGGGTTGTGGCTGGATCATCCAAGTGACCTGGCCCTGAGGTCCCTGATATCCAGGCCTGCAGGTCACCATGGAAGGACCCAAGTGGACATGAGGGCGGAGTTCCGAGTAGGGCTACAAATAATATACTGGAAGGGCACCCTGGAGTCCAAACCGGTGGCACCCTGGAGTCCAACACGTAAAAGAGACTTGGGGGTTTGGAGGTGCCCTTTTGTTTTTTCGGTTTTTTTGGAGGGCCATTCTCATGATCCCTCGCCCCTCTCTTTAAGTCTCTGACGTCATCTACCCCTCTCTCCTCCCACTCCATTCGGCAATCCAGGTCCCCTCTCACCCCAGCACAGCAGAGCTCCTTCCTGCCTTGCCCTAGTTCTTCCCTCTGCCTGGACAGAACACTCTCCCCAGGTGATTAAAGGGCTCAGTCCCTCACCTCCTGAAGCTTCTCAAGTCTTCTGTGTCTTATTCAAGGTAAATGTCTCTCTACTTGACCTTCTTTACTCTTTTTTCTCCTCAGTGTCTCTACCTATGCTCTTTTATACAGTTGATCTGTTCGCTGTCTGTCCCCCCAACCCTGTAATAGAAGATTCCCCAGAGTGAGGACCATCTTCAGCACTTTGAACCGTACATTGTAGGTACTCATTATCTGTCACAAGAATAAACACCAGTGCTTATTTAATCCTTCGGATTCACTGAACCCACTTTTGCCTCCCCAAACTTTTGCAGCAAGTTCTATCACCCCCATTTACAAAATGAGGAAATTGAGGCTGGGGAAGGTTCACTCCCTTGCCCAGGGTCACCATACAGCTGGCCTAAAGTGGACCTGGAATGCTGCCCTGGCAATGATGGGCATCCTGGGCTATTAGGATGGGTAGCTTGTGCTACTAGTAGTTTTGCCAAACAGAGAGGACAGGGGTGGGGCTCTGGGTCATGGTGGGAGTGAGACTCTTGGTGACAGGTGGCTTCCCAGGTCTTACCTTCCAGTTCCCATTGGGGCAAAGTCCCAGAATTCCCCTGGTCCAGCCTTGCAGGGGAAAGAGGAAGCAGGGTGTGGGGCAGGTCCAGGGCAGAGGGGCAGGGAGCCAGGGATACCCGACACCTTTGTGGTCTGGGCTTTTAGGCCAGTCTCCCCTGAGCTGTGAAATTCCCCAGCAGAAAATAACCCTCCTGCTGTTCCCTAGGCCCTTCCTCTGTGGGGGATGGTAGGTGGAGGCACAGTAAGGACAGTCCTTATCAGAGGACACGGGCATCTCCTAAAAGCCTTGTAAGCTGTTGTTCATCTGCTATGGGCTCGACGCTGACCTCAGCACTTTCCTATTAATTCTTCCTACAAGGTGTTGACAGGTATCGGAAACTGAGGTACAGAGTGGCTGACTGGCCGTAATTATAGCACTAGAAGACAGAAAGGGCTGACCGCCCTTTGCAACTTGCGAATCACCTTGCTTCTATCCAATCCCTCCTCCAGTCTCCTGCCCCAAGTTTTTGATTAAGATGATTCTTGGAGTTGGGGATGTAGCTCAGTGGTAGAGTACTTGCTTAGCATGTGCAAGGCCCTGGGTTTAATCCCCAATTCTGCAAGGGCATGCCAAAGATCTCTCAAGGGCTTCCTCAGTCTGAAACCAGAACAGGGTCTGATGAGGTGGATCTGGTTCTAACTGCACAGGAGACTGAACCTCTAAGTCCATTTTCCTAGCTATAAAACAGGTGTCCAAACAACCTCCACCTGGGTGGGCTGCTGGGGGATCCTAAAGGAGGTTAGAACCTGGCATGTAAATATGGGGATTCTAGAGGCCAGGCGTGGAGTCTATCTCCCTGCCAGGTGGCCTCAGACACTACAAATCTTTATTTGCCTCTACCTCAAGGAGTCACTGTGAGAGTAAAATGAACATCCAATCTCAGCACAGAGCATGGTGCATATTTGGTATTCCTTTTTTTCCTCTCAACTTTTCTGCAATAAGCATAACGTTCATTGAACACTTACTCTGTGCCGGGGCCTGTAATAACATGGATTAACTCCTTGGGTTCTCATAATAGCAGTTCTCAAGGTGTGGTCCCTGCAGGACCACTGTCAGCCTCACCTTGGGAGTGTGTTGGCACCGCAGCTCAGGCCTGCCGGGACCCACTGAGTCCGAAACCAGTATTCTGTAGCAGCTCTCCAGGAGATTCCCCTGTGGTTAAATCTGAGATCCGATAACTTCTAACAATCCTAAGAGAAAGGTGCTGTTATTATGCCCACTTTACAAAGAGGAAACATGTCCAAAGTCACTGATCTGCTCCAGGGGACAGGACTTCTAAGAGGCAGTAGTTGAGCCCAGACACGGGGATGAGTCTATCCTTGGTGCCCTCTCTGGACTTGGATGATGCAGAGCTGGTGGAAGCTGCTGGAGAGGGGGGATCCCCAATGACTTTAGCACCTGCTGCCCCAGGAAATGGACAGATATGGCCTCCCCACCACAGTGGGATCCGAGTGCGACGGGAAGCCCCCACCCGTTCTGGGACCCTCCAGGCACAGGCACAGCCACTTCCAACCCTTTATTGGAACTCTGTCAGCCCCAAATAAATATAATACATTAAACCCAGAGCTGAGGAAATCGTGCACCCCAGGGGGTACCCCCATAACCCCAGCCAGGCAAAATAAGTTAGTGCGGGGCCGCCAAAGGCCAGACCAGCTCCCCGGCCGGGCAGGCGATGGCGGTCGGGCTTGCACACGCTGGTCTAAAGTGCATCTTGCTCTGTGGTCCCCACGTCTGCATGGCCCTCGGCAGGGCCACTGGGAGGGGCAGGCGGGAGGTTCCCGGCGCTCACACCGTGCCAGCAGTGGCCACCGGGGCTCTTTGTGTCCTTCTGTCCATTTGAGGGGACAGCTGTGTGGCCGGATGCCCTCAGGAGAAGCTGTCATCAGACCGTGGCTGTGGCTGGGTGTCAAAGGGCGGGTCCGAGACTGTGATCCCTTGGTGTAGCTTCTCCAGCGAGAACTTCATCTGCCAGGAGGGGGCAGAGCAGGTGAGCACTGAGAGGGTGATGTCAACCCCATCCTGCAGCCAGGAGGCCACGCCCCTACCCAACACAGGTCACCAAAGCCACGCTACACCCCGCTGCACCCCATTTTAACTTCTCCGAGGCAGCAGAGGATGGTCTCAGTGTGAGCGTGAGGTCAGGTGGCCTGGGGTTCCATCTCGGTTTTGCTGTTACTGCCCTGGGCCCAAGTCCCTCATCTGAAATGTGGGTCAGTGTTGTCCCTGCTTCATGGGACGATTTCAGGGACAGGATGAACACTGGAACCTGGCCCACAGGAAGTGCCGAATGTATGTTAAGGATGACTCTTTCCCCTGTGACCTTGGGCAAGCTCCTGACCCCCTGAACCCCAGGATGCTGCGTACCTCCTAACTTGCTACCAGAGGGGAAACTAGAGCATCCCTACAAGGCTGGCCAGGAGTGTCACCCGCGCTCAGCAACCGGGGGAGCCCCGCCTGGGCAAGTGCTCCGCCTGCATCTGCCGCTACAATCAATCTGCGAAGTCAACTCTGTACTCACGGCAATTTGAGAGAGAAAAATCATCAAAAATTTAATGCAGGGTGGAAGAGTTCTGCCCTCCTTCTCTTTGAGCCTTAATTTCTTCCCCATCATGTCCTGCACAGCCTTGGGGGCATCTCCCCGTGAGCATGATTTCAGGGTGCAACAAGGGTGATCAACTGGCAATTTTGGCTCTGATCACCTCAGAACCTTCCCTGTTTCCCATCACCCCCCTCACACACAGTGAGGGCACCTACCCCAGCACCCCACATTTGCCCTGACCCACCACAGCTGCCTGCTGGAGTCCACTGGGGCCGGGTATGCTGGGGGGCATCCTCACCACGTGGGGAGGGCATGCTGATTAGACTCCTACTGTGCGCCTGGTGCTCGGCTCACTTGACTGACAGCACACATCTATGAAGCGTTGACTTTTGGCCCAGCATTATTCCAAATGTTAACCCACTCCATCCTCACAAGAGGTGACATGGATTATGTGATCAAGGCTCAAAGTAAAGACACTTGCACAAGATCACACAGTAGAATTTGGATCCTGCCCTTGCACTACATGGGTACTTGGGTCAACTCCCTTTTTGGAGAACCTCTCTTCTGCCTGCAGACGCTATGACCCCTTTTGCCAGAAGGGAGCAAGAGGAACAGGACTGCATCTAGCCCAGCCCTGGCTGTAGTGACTGTTTTGGGGGTAGGCCCATGACCCCAGCAGCCAATGAGAGTGAACTCTCCATTGGAGTGGCAGGTGCCACCTTGATCATCCTGCAGCAAGGGAAACCCCCCCAAACAAAGCCAACCCTGAGCATCGGCATAGTCAAGAGATGCTCTGAGATGGATTCTTATTACTATCGAGGGACTGGATCTAGCCATGCCTGAAGGGAGCCCCCTGGACTTTTTCCAGGATAAGAACCAATAAATTCCTTCTCCATCCCACGGACGCCTCCAGCGACTCTGTGAGGTGGGGACTAGGAATGGCTTCCTCATTTTGCAGAGGAGGAAACTCAGGCCCGGGGAGGGGAGGGCATCTGGCTCCACAGCCCTGCCTGGGCCCCGGCTGGCGAAGCCCTACCTCATCCAGGAGCTCCACGGACGCCCGCAGGATCCGCCTCCACTTGTGCACCTCGACGCTGTGGAACTGCTTCTGCAGGGCCAGGATCTCCGCCCACTCAGTGGCCGTCTGAGGGAACTTGCTGCAGGGACAGGGGCCTGAGCACAGCCCCGGCCTCCCCAACCTGCCCAGCTGCCCAGCATCCTCTCACTGCCCGCTTACCCTTTGGCCAGGGCCAGGCTGTGCCACGACTCAAAGGTGTGGGCCGTCCTCTCCAGGGACCAGAGGCGGTAAAAGAGGAGGGCATTGAGGGCGATGAGGACAATGAGGCTGGGGGAGGGGTCAGAGGTCAGTGCCCCAAAGTCAGGCACTGAGCTCTGGACACCCCGCCACACAACCACACCTTGAAGGGGGCACTAAGATTACACCTCCATCTTTTCAGAGGATGAAACTGAGGTTCAGAGCGGGTAAGAGACAGGCTTAGGGATGCACAGTATGTAGTTAAACAGTCGGGGTTCAAAACCAGGCCTGTATGATACCCAGGCCCTTGACCACCACCCTAGGCCACATCCCTGGGGACCCAGGGGGGCCTGGAATAGGGAGACGAGGCTGCAGGGGGATGAGACACAGGGAGGGGAGGGCAGGTGGGAGACATGGGACCCTACCTCACACAGATCCTGGGAGCAGTGAGGGGAGCAAAGAGTGAGAGCCATGAGCCCAAGCCGGGCGCCCCCCCTCCCCCACCCCGGGCAGTGCTGGGGCAGTGCTGGCCACGTGGCTGCGCCTGAACTGGTCTGGCAAACTGAGGCCCAGAACGGCTAAGAGCATAGCCCCCTGCCCTCCCTCCCAGGGTCAGCTCAATCCCGGGGGCCTTATTTCCCTTCCCCAGAGCACCTGTCCCCTCCCCACCTTGATCGTGGGCCTTGCCTGCTCGGGTCTCAGCTCAGACATCCTGTGCTGTCCCAGGAAAGTCACCCCGACTGCCCCTCTGTGGGGCCTTGGAGGAAGCAGGTGCTGCCCTCCCACTGCCTCCCCACCCCAGTCCTGATCCCGCTGGGCTCACGTCAGGTCTGTCTCCCTGAGGGCTGTGGTCACGGTGTCCCAACCTCCACCCGGCTTAGAGCTGGGCAGGGACACAGAAGTAGAACGCACCAATGGCCGTAGTTCACTTGCACACCTCTCCCTGCTCACCAGGCTGATTCTTTAGCCTTTGATGCCAATCTACAACCCCCCCCCCCGCCCCCATCAAGGTCAAGTTACTTTGACCTCCCATAGCCCCCTGGGCCTCGGCTCTTCCAGCAGAGAATCTTCTCCATGACAAACTGAGCATCTACACTGTGTAAGGAGCACCAAGGAAGCCCAGAGCGGCCAAGCACTTGCTCAAGGTCCCACAGCAGCCTGTAGATCCAGGCCTCTCTTACACGATGCTGATGAGAACCAGGGCGTTGGGGATGCCTGCCCCAGGACCCTGCTCCATGGACGGTTCCGAGAAGCGGGAGCTGAGGGAGCCTGTAAGACAGCATCAGGGTCAGATAACGGCACACAAAGCCACCCCAGCCCAGGCCCCCAGCGCCTCCGCCTGCCTGAGCAGGCCCTGAAGGAACGCACCCGAGGTGTGCATGCCAGCCCGGGTGCAGGGGTCTGGATCCGGGTGCTGGGGACCATCTCCGTGACCCCTCCAGCTGAGGGGCCGCTTTCGCCTCCGCAGACCTGAGAGCAACCCCCGAGCCTCCTTCCCGCCTTCCTCTAGGGACAGCTTCTCGGCCTTGGCGAGCTCCCGCTCTGGGAAAGGACAGAGGGCTCTGGATGTGTACCCAGCCGGGCCACGACCCCACCCCGCCCCGGCTGGCCCTCTGCCCCTACCCAGGTGGTGGAAATAATCCTCAATGCCACTCCACGAGTTCTTTTCAATCAGGGACTTCACGAGGCTCCACGGCTGTTTCCGGTAGCGGATCTCTGAGGACACCCTGGGGCAGAGAGAGAGGAAGAGGGTCAGGGCCGGGCTCCCACCCCCTGGGGAGTTCCGTTCTTCCACTAACTCAGAGAGAGTCCTCTGTCACTCAGACACACAGATGCGCTCCCCCTCCCCGCCCACTCACCTTCCTGGACCTCCCCCCTAACCTGGCCTTGACCCCATCTCCGTCCGTGCCAGCCATCGTGGCCAGTCTCCCCACTGCCTGAGCCCCGTGAACTCACACGCTGATGTCCTGGCCCAGACCCCCCCAGGGGTCCCCGTGACCCTGCCCCTTCCTTCATATGCACACGTGGACTCCATCTCAGCCAACTGTGTCACCTCCTCCTACAAACATCTGTCCAAGAATCTAAATTCTCCTCCCCTGGGCTGCCTCGCCCTGGCCCAGCCTCCACCTGCTCCTGCCTGAACACTGTGGCCGCCTCCTCCCTGTCAGGTCCCCTGGCTCCTGCCCCTGCCCTTGTTATCTGTTCCCACCTGCAACCAGAAGGAGCCTGTGAACACCTGAGTCAGGTCAGGGTCCCCCAGCTCAGAGCCCTGACCCAGTGCACCTCACCAGGACCATGAAGCCATCTCCTTGATCTCACCTCTTACTCTTCCTCCACTGACTCCACTCTAGCCATTCCCACACTTCTGCCTCAGGGCCTTTGCACTGCCATCAGCCCTCACCTCCTTCACGTGCTTATAAAATATTCTTTCCTTAGAGAACCTTCCCCTGATCAGCACACTCAGGATAAAATCTCTGCTGGTTCAGCGCCTCCCACGCTCTTTAGCCCACTGTGCTTTTCCCTAAAGCTTTTATCACTAGTGAATGTCCTGCAGGCTCATTATCATTTTTATTGGCCAATACCCACCCAGAACATGAGTTCCCCAAGAGAAGGGTTTTTGTTTAATTTTGCTGTAGCCCCACGGTCTCGAATAGGCTGGGCACACAATAGATGCTCAATAAACAGGTGAACAACTGAACTGTTCACCTGCACACTCACTTGCCCTCTCTTGCTCAAACACCCCCTGCAGATGGGACCAGTCATCCCCAGGGCCACCCTCTCTATGCTCTGCTGTTCAGAGTTCTGGGTCTCAGGGACCCAACACTTCCGTTCCTCCTCCAAGGTGAGATCTGCAGCTGACTCAGGGTGAGGAGAGTGGAGTAGGGGCCCTGAGGCCACCAGGCCAAGGGGTGACTCACCGGAGCCGCGCCTTGTTCCGGGCAAGGCCCAGGATGCAGTAGCGGTGGGCCGTGTAGAAGTAGTCCTGGTACGGGATGCCCTGCGTCAGCACCTCCGAGTCCACCACGCACCCACCTGCCTGCGGGCCGCGCCGGAACAGCGTCTGCAAGGACGGGGAGGAGGGCAGTCAGAGCCACCCACCGAGCCATTCTTCCTGGCTGGCCACCCCACCCCACGGGCCCCACCTGTGTCTCCACCACAGAGGCGCTCTTGGGGCCCAGCGGGTTGTTGATGGGAATGGTGTAAGTCAGCACGCGGCGCTGGTGGCACTTGCTGTCCCCACTCCAGGGGCTCAAGGTCACATCTAAAGAAGAGAAGAAAAGAATGATGGAACCATTCTGGGTCCTCTGCCCTCCGGATGTAGGAGACTCAGTCTTTTTGAGGGTTTCAGTTTCCTGGAGATTTGTCCCCAACCGCTGTCCTTCCTTCAAGTCCGAATCTTGCCATCTACCCTGCCTTCCTTTTAGGAATCCATGACAGTTACAGCTGGGCCCTCTTCTGACCCCTCCTGGGGCCATCCCATCTACACCTGCAGCCTCAGTTTCCCCCTCTGTACCAGACTGGCTTCCCTCCGGGGCATCAGATCTAAGCACCTTCAGCCTTCTGGGTACCTTTCCCCGGAAGCCTCCCGCCTCCTCACACCTATGGAGCCCCACTGGCCTTAGCCCGTCTGCCCTGGGTCCCCATCCCAGTGTCCTCTGGGCTCCCACTGGAGTCCTAGACCTCACTTCCCTAAGGTCAGCTCCACCATCTGTTCAGTGCTCCTGGGGACCCTTCCTGGTTTGGCCCCTTCCTGCCTGCCCAGGGTTCCTCCCCAGCCTCCCGCTCGGCACCTGCCCTCAGACTCCGTTTCTGGTCAGGGATATCTGGTTAAAGCCAAGACTGACCATAACCTATCTGCCTGAGTTTTCTGCCTGATGTGTCAATCCCCAGGACGGAAGCTGCTGCTGTGAGGCCTGTCTTCTCCCAACACAGGGCACCCACCGTCCTTGGGACCACAGGGGAATCTATATTGTTCACTTTCAACAGAGGAAACAAGGAAAAATTACCATCTGACTAAGGCGCTGCCTGCTGGAATCTCTCCCCCAGCCTCGCTCAGCGGTCTCACCTCAACCCTTCCTTCTCACCGCTCCAGCCCTGACCCTGTGTCTGCCTCCAGTCTTAGAGGAGGCCTGACCTCGCTGGCCTCCTCCCCTGCCCTCTCCCTTTCGCACCCTCCTCAGTTCCTCCTTCCAGCTTCATGTCCTAGCAGCCCCTTCACTGCCCTCCAAACACAGCTGCCCACAGACCCATTTTTATTGGCCAATACCCACCCAGAACATGAGTTCCCCAAGAGAAGGGTTTTTGAGGGTTTCGGTTTCCTGGAGATTTGTCCCCAACTGCTGTCCTTCCTTCAAGTCCGAATCTTGCCATCCTGGTGGCCTCAGGGCCCCTCACATCACACCTGCAGCAGGTGGTACTTATTTGTGCATTTCCTGCCGTTCCCACTAGATCCTGGGCACTGAGAACAGGAGTTAATCTACCCTGGTCTCTCATGGTCTCCAAGCCCTGCACGAGTGGACACTGTGACCGTTACCTGGTATTTATTAGACCCTTACTGTATACCACTGTTCTAGGCACTACCCTAACACTAACTCATCTAGTTCTAATGGGATCCCCATAAGCTGCTGCTGTGAACAGTAAACAGAAGAAGAAACTGAGGCACAAAGTGGCTGGGAACCTGCCCAAGGCTACAAGGCTGGTATGAGGCTGAACCGCTTCAGCTCTCTCAGATGCTATTTTATTTTATTGAGACAGGGTCTGGTTGTCGAGGCTGGCCTAGAACTTGGAATCCTCCTGCCTCAGCCTCGGGAGTGGCTGGTATTACAGGACTGTGCCACGGTGCCCAGGGCCACGGGCATTGCTTTCACTGCCAGACTGCTGGCCTTCCTCGCCCTTCCCCTATACCTGGGAGACCCTGGCATCCTCTCTGGCCCGCCCCTGACCTGTGAACTTGCATTGCTGCAAGAATCCCTGGAGGAAGGCTGAGTCCGAGAAGAGCATCTGCTGCAGCCGCTCGGCTCCCACGTGGAAGACGGAGTTGATGAGGAGCCGGCCGGAGAGGTCGGGAAGCAGGGCGGCCAGATCAGCTAGGAGACAGAGAAGGGCTGGGGCGAGGTAGGTCCCATTCTTCCCTCTCTCTGGGTGACCGCTCCTCCCCACTTCAGGCCTCGTGGGCTGGATGCACATCTATCCTCCTGGACCAAAGAGAACTCAGCCCCTCGGCCACAGCTTGGCGCCCAGGGGCATCAGCCGTGATGATTGGCCCAGGGGTGTGTGTGTTACCCAGGCCAGCCAATCAGCCACAAAGATTGGTTTGGGGGCGGGCCCACTCGCCAGACTGAACCAATCAGAAGCAATCCTAACATTCTTGCTGTAGCTATTGGGAAAAGCGGGCCCCTTCTCTTTGAGCTAGTGTGAGAAATAGAAAGCCTGGTGGTCCTTTTTTAGAACATAGTAAAGGCTTAATTGGATCCAATTGTAGCCCGTCCCTTTTGCCCGCCCTAAAGCTAAAATTAACCAATCACGTAGATTGTAACCCCGAACTCCTCCGATCAGAGTGAAGGGCAGCCCTGCGTAGGTTAGATACGATCTACAGCCGCCCGCCCAGGCGCACGGGTTCCAGTAGCGCACCTTCTGCCAAAAGTAAAGGTCTGCCTTGCCCACCCACTTTCTGGCACGTGTTTGATTTTTTGTGGCACCTCGTTATTTCTCACACTAGGTTTGGCAGGGGCTCTGTCTGCCCCCACGAGAATAGAGGATACCCTGACAATTCTTTGGCACAGAGAAATGAACAGAATAACTGGCCTAAGCACTTTAACACGTACTAACATTTAATTAACCTTAACGACAAGCCTAGGAAGTGGACATTATTACTGCTTTCCCCATTTTCCAGATGGGAGAATCAAGGCTCAGGGAGGTTCAACAATGTGCCCACATTACATAATCCTGGTTAGAAATTAGGTCAACCAGGATTAGGACCCCAGCAACCTGCTTTCCAAGTCTGTGCTCTTATTCTTCCTGCCAGGCAGCCTTTGAAGCGGAGCTCAGGACAGAGAGACTTCTAGCAATGCCATTTGAATGCCATCTCTGCCTACCTCCTGCATTTTTTAGTCCCATGAGCCAATACATCCCCTCCTGCTTCACTCTCCTGAGAAAGGGTCGTTGTGTGTAAGGAAGGGAGTGAACGCGAGCCCTCCCTCCTCACCTTCCTCCCCCGTGGATGACGAGGAGTTACTTGTGTCGGTTAACAGCTCCTCCCTGGGCAGCAAGTCCAAAGGGCCCAGGGAAGTGGGCTCATCAGGTGGGTTGGGCTCTGTACTCAGGGGTTCTGCCACTGGAGTCACTGTCTGGCTGGAGGAGGCATCTGGCTGGCTGTCCGTCTGCTCCTCCTTGTCCTCCTCTGCCTGCAGAGAAAGGATTCATACAGCCTTGCCCCACCCCCATCGCAGCCTGGGGACCTCCCTGGGTGCACACTGGCTGCAAGGATTTGAGACACTGCTCAGACCTTGGTCAGTGAAGCCAATGCTGGGGAGCTGGTGTGCACACCTGCGGCTCAGGCTGAGCTGAGAGGCCCTGCGGACACCCAGATGAGGGCTCCTCTTAGCTCCAACCAGGGTTGTTTGGGATGCTTTCTGCCTTCCTGTCCATCTGTCTGTCCCTGTTCCATCCATCCACCCATCCAACTTGCTCCTTCTGCTTCTCACCCTTCCCGTTTTCCATTTGTCTCTCTTCCCTATCCAGCCCTACTTTCCTTGACCATCTTCCCACCTCCATCCGTCCCCTCCTTCGCCCATGTCTCTTAGTTAGTCCCTCTCTGCCATCCTTCCATTGTCCCTCCCAGTCAGCACCCTCCTCTCTCCTGTACCCGCCTGCTCACCCCATGGTCTGCATCACTGCTGGCCCGGGACAGGTTGGGGGTGATGCGGCCACGGCGCGATCCCACGGGGCTTGGCTCCTGGCTGTGGTCGGCAGCCCCAGAGGGGGTGATGTCGCTCAGGGCAATCACATCTCCCATATCCTTGGGGCTCCTGCAGTGAAGGGAAAACGTGGGACCACTGATCCTCCATCCCCCATTCACCTTCCTGGGCCTCCCAGGCCCTGCACACCCACCTCGTCCACCTGGCCCTTCTGGAACTCTGCACACAGCCCTATCTGGTCTCTAAACCCTGGAGCCCCTTCACCTCCAACTCACCCCAGACCATTCAGCTGCAAGGGGCAGACGTAGTCCTCATCTTCGCTGGTGAGGCCCAGCTCCGAGCCGTAGCACTGATGCACCAGGTGCCAGAGCTCGCGGGGACTCAGCGTCTGGGTAGGCAGGAATGGGGAAGACCTCACGTCCAGCCAGAGCCCTCCCTTCTAGGTTCCCCACCAGTCTTCAGCCTCCTGTTCCCCCGACGTCCACAAGGGGGCAGCATGACCTCATGAGCCAGGCCCCGCCCCCTCGGGCAGGAAACCCATCTCCCGCCTGCCAGACCTTGTGCCTGGGCACTACACCTCTGACCTATCAAGTCCTCCAAGGCTCTGGCCAGTTAAGGTTCTATTGTTACAGAGGAGAATACAGAAGTCCAGGAGGCCCAAGAATGGGAAATTATATGCTTGAGGTCACTTTAGTGAATCCCAGTTGCCTCTGGGATTCAAGTGCAGCCAGACTCAGAGCTCATGTTCCCACCCACGATGGCTACAGTGCCCCCGACTCTTTCTTCAGGTGTCCTCAGACGCCCTGGGGTTTCAGCTGCCTGTGCTCAGAGTGGCTGGATGACAACAGTGATGAAATAATAACAGTGATAGTGGTGGCAGCAGCTGGCACCCACTGGTGTGCCATGAGGAGCCCGGCATTCTGCTAACCCACGTCCGCTAACCCACCAGGACTTCAAAACGGATCTGGGAAGTGGGCACTAAGATACCGTCTTCATTTTAAGCCGGGTGCAGTGTAATATGCCAAGGTCAGCTGACTGGGAAGTAGCAGTGCTGGATGAGCTCCCAGGAGGCCGTGGAGAGCTCTGGCGCTAGTCACCAGCCCACCCACCTCAGACAAGCTGACATCACCGAGTGCTTCTTCCGGACCCAGCTCTGGGTGTTGTGAAGTAGGGGCGGTCCCCATGGGCCAGATGGGGTTTAATGACTTGCCCCAGGTGGCACTAATCAGTGATGGGGCTGGAACTGCAGGGCCTGAGTTGTGACTGTCCTCTGCCCTTGGCCTCTCTGGACACTAACTCTGCATTGTCCCCTCAGGATCCTCGGTGGATTCTCTGGCACTCTTACTTCTGGGGGTGACCACAGCTGGAGCTGCCCCCCGGGGATAAGAGGTCCTCAGATGGCAGGGCATACACAGCAGAGCTGGAGGAGGGGGTGCGGATGTTCCAAGGTGCTGCGGCCCCCAGCATCAGCCTTTGTGTGAGGAGCACCCAACATTCCCGCCAGCAGAACCTTGCTGCTGCCCAGTGCGGGGCTCTTCCCCAGCCCCAGGGATGATTAACGACTGGTTTACACCCACTCCTCTCTTCTGCTGGAGACTCAGCTTCAGAGTCAGGCCTGAAAGAAGCCTTTGGCTGTCCCTGGATGGACCTATGAGGCTACATGAGGCCTGGTGTCCATGGAGAAGAGCTGGGGGTTCCTCCTGTTCCCTGAGGTCTGGCATCCCTGGCTCCATGGTCCCCTGGCACCCTGCTTCTCCCCCAGGCCTCACCAGGCTCACCTTTTCCAGCAGTGCATTCTGCCAGAGGCGGAAGATAAGGAGGAAGCAGCGGTCACGGGCCCCAAAGGAAGTGAAGAAATGCTGCAGAGAAGAAGGGCATGTGAGAGCCAGGGGAGATGGGGCGGGGCCAGAGGGTAGATGGGGCGGGGCCAGGGGAGAGGTGGGGCGGGGCCAGGGGAAGCTCCATCCTCATTCAGGACTATCCCTGCTGCTCTGTCCTGATGTACCCACTCATTTGTCCCTGCATTCATTCCACAAAATAGTTATCCTGTGCCCAGACCTGCAAGGTCACCGCAAGGTGGAGACAGCCCATGGCTCTTCCTCAGAGCTCACAGTCTGGGTGGGAGACAGACCCTTCTCTAGACAGGCTCAGCTCAGGGCACTTTCCCAGCCCCCTTGGTCTCTGAAGTGGTCAGCTGATCCACAAAACACAAAGGAAGTTTGCTATGAAGTCTTCCCCTGCCCTCCCTGCTTCCTGTCCTGCAAGTGGTTGGACTAGCCATCTTCCAATGAACTGGCCCTGAGGCAATAATGCAGAGGACAGGATGGAGCATCAGAGAGGCATCTAAGGGGCAAGGACATCTGAGTTGCTAGAGACATGGGAGGGAAGGATTTCACTATGTCCCTGAGCGGCTGTGTGAGGAAAGGATCTGACAGGAAGTTGAGGTAGGGACCCAGGTCAGAGAGGATGGGAGCCCGGCCATGGCAGGGGCTGGGAGAATAAAGAGCAGGTGACGGACCTGAGAGAGGTTTGGGGTCCAGAAGAAACGGAGCTTGGTTTTGATTGGCTTTGGGTCAGGGGAGCAGGGAGATGCTGAGATCAGTGACCACTGGGTCCCTGGACTCACCTTCTCGCTCTCTGTACAGATCTGGATGGCGTTAGGGATCAGCTTGGCCGTCTTTTCCTTCTTTAGACACGTCACTTCCTTCAACTGGATGGAAATCTGAAGGGGGCAGGAGGGTCAGAAGGGGCCAGGGCCCCGCCACGCTGAGGCCTCTCCCTCCCATCAGCTCACCGTGGTCTCCCAGCGGAAGATGTTGCTGTAGAAGCAGATCCAGTTCTCAGAGAGATAGAGGCGCCCCTGAAGGAGGATCTCACGCTGCAGAGCACAGGAGTAATCTGAGAGCGGGAGAGGAGAGACAGGTAGATACTGGAGTCACCTGGCTGGCTGTTCGCGCAGCCCAGAGGCTGGGAACACAGGTCAAGGGGGTGGGACCAGGTCTGGGGTGCAGGGACTCACCCACGATGAGGCGCTCAGCTTCAGGGAGTTTGCTGAACAGCTTCCGGAAGTCTTCATTGCGCTGTTTGTAGGTGGGGCTCAGCATCTAGAAGTTTGGGAGAGAAAACCTGGATGGGGATACCCACCTGCAGCTCTGCCCCACAAAGCTTCCAGAGCCCCCTCAGTCTTCCCAGCCTCTTAGGCGCTCTGAAGTTTCAGTATCTAACCTGCTTTGCCTTCTATTGCCCATGACATGAGGATCCCTTGAGTGACAGCTGTCATTTTCTGATTTCTTAGATCAGCCAGATTCTATGTCAAGTCCTGCCAGCATCACCAACTCCCATTGACTGTCCCCTTCAGCCTTGTAAGGCAGGGCTGTTTCTTAAGGAGAGTTTGAAAGGCCCAGAGAGTTAACTGATGCCCTTTATCACACAGCACATAACTAGCAGCACAGGGTGTGACTCTGGTCTGCTAATTGCAGCCCCTGTTTCTTGACTGCTTCAACCTGGGGCTCTAGGTCAGCAGATGGACCCCTCCCTCCTGCCCCCTCTAGCAAGTCCCCTTGCCCAGATACTTACACTGTACCAGCTCTGCATCTTCTGCAAGGGAAAGAGAGGAGTTAGGATGAGGCCTCGGGTTACCCACCTTGCCACCCCTCTGTGCCCCCAACTGGCGCTTACGCCAACCTTGCTGTTGCGGATGAAGTTCCGGCTGCCCAGGCTCTGGGTGCTGGGGGTCCCAGACATGCCACTCTTTTCTGAGGAGCTATCTGACCCCTTCTCCACCATGGTGCCTGGTTCTGGCTCAGGAGGGGGCCGGCTTGGGGGCAAGAGCTGCAGCCGCTTGCGGAGAGACGGGGAGCTGCTGGGTGTGCTCCGGCCAGAGTGGGGCGTGGTGCTGGGGTGGAGAGAAGAGGGGTGTTGAGGGAAACGGGCTGGGGATGGGGACGGGCCTGGGTTTTCTTTTCTGTTTGGTTTTTGAGGGGGCCCCAGGGATTGAACCCAGGGGCACTTGAGCACTGAGCCACATCCCCAGCTCTGTTTTGTATTTTATTTAGAGACAGAGTCTCACTGAGTCGTTTAGGGCTTCACTCAGTTGCTGAGGCTGGCTTCGAACTCGCGACTCTCCTGCCTCAGCCTCCCAAACTGCTGGGATTACAGGCGTGCACCACTGCGCCCTGCCAGGCCTGTTTTTGAAGGCCCATCTATGGGCCCATTAACCCCCATCCACCCACCCACCCTTCCATCTATTCATCTATCCATTTGTGCCTCAGTTACCTCCTTTACCATCCAGAGAGTGATAAACAAATCACTATGTGTAAGTACTGAGTGCCTCTAACAGAGCCAGGTCCGTCTGAGCTCTCAAGAACACCTGCTTCCCCCTCAACCCCTTGCAGTGCTAGGGATAGAGTCCAGGGCCTGAGCGGGAAAGCGCTTTACCACTGAGTACAACCCCCATCCCCAGCTCTTTTCATTTTATATTGAGACAGGGTCTCACTAAATTGCCCAGGCTGGCTTTGGACTTGTGATACCGTGCCTCAGCCTCCGGAGTAGCTGGGATGATAGTCTGCGCCACGGCACCTAGCCTTTTTTTAAAAAACATACTAATTCATTCATACAACAAATATTTATCGAACAGTGACTTTCCACTTAGTTGCTCAAGCTAAAAACTTAAGAGTCTTTCTTAATTTCTTTCTGTCTCCCAAACACTCATTTCCAATCTGTCAGCAAGTCCCACTGGATCCACCGCCACACTTTATTTCCAGGGCTGGGGATGTAGCTCAGGGGTAGAACACTTGCCTAGCATTCCCAAGGCCCTGGGTTCCATCCCCAGCACGCACATGCACAAAAAAGTAAAACTACTTTTTTTCTTTTTGGTACCAGGGATGGAACCCGGGGTACTTAACCACTGAGCCCATCCCCAGTCCTTTTTATTTTTATTTTTTAGAGACAGGGTCTCACTAGGTTGCTTACAGCCTCACCAAGTTGCTGAGGCTGGCTTTGAACCTGTGATCCTCCAGCCTCAGCCTCCAGAGCTGCTAGGATTACAGGTGTGCACCACCGCCCATTATTTCTTTTCTACCCACTTCTCCCTGTTCCAGGCTCCATCCCCAACTGCTGGGCACCCAACGGCCTCCACCTGGGTCTCCTGCTCCTGGCCCTGCCCCCACAGTCTGTTCCCACTGCAGCCTCTTCTGGCTGTGACCACCTGAGTCAGATCAGGGTCCTCCCAGCTCCAAGTCCTGCCCTGCCTTGACTGCACCTCACTTCAGGTTCAAGCCAAGTCCTCACCCTGAGACCCAAAGCCCCAGTGACCAGGTCCTGTCACCTCCCTGACCTCATGGCCTCCCCTCTCCTTGTTGTCCCAGCCATTCCAGCCTCCTTCTGTTCCTTAAGCTCTCAAACTTCATTCCCATGACAAGGCCTCTGCATCTTTGGTCGTCTCCACCGCAGCCGCATCTCCAATGCTCCTCCTCCTGGTCACTCAGCCCAGCATGGCACCTCCCTAGTCACACCCCATGTTATCTACACTCACCCTGGTTCATTGCCTGACGTGCATATCAGGAGGTTGCTACTTGTCACCTAGTACCCCAAACTGTATGGGACACACAATAAACATGGGTGACTGAGTAAATGATCCCATGCTGCCTGGAGCTGGCTGTGGCTCCCGCCCTTGGAGAGTTAACCTGGGGGTGGGGAGATGTTAGACAAACAGAGCACTCGGATGACTGCGCAAATACAGACTAATAATAAAGGCTGTGGGGTAAGCATCGGGAACTTTAAAGGGACATTCACTGTGGACTCCTTATCAGGAGCTATGGCCAGCTCTCTGTGTGCTTAATTTTATTATTCCTCAAACAATCCTGTGCACCTGATCGCATCACCATTCCCGCTTCATAGAGGAGGCAGTATGAACCACTTGCCTAGGGACGGCAGCTGGTTTATTTCAGGGCAGTGACCTGTTCTGGGATGCAGGTGGGATTCCCTCCACCAGGAGGGGCTCTAGCAACTCACCTCTCCTGCCACCAAGCATCAGCACACACCCTTCCCTCGTCCAGTCCACCCCTGCCCTTCTCTGCCCAGCAGATTCTTATGTGTCCTTCAAGACTTGCTCACGCACCCTCTCCTCACTCCAGTGCCCCTTGTCCCTCGCCTGACGTGCGTATCAGTCTGATGTCACTGTCTGATGTCAGCTCATTTCCCCCACAGGTCTGCTGGCTTCCTGATGGCAATTGTTGGGTCTACTCTGGTCCCTGCTTTGTTCAAGTGTCTGTCCCAGCCTTGCTCAGGACAATGCAGAATGAAGCAGTCACATACTTGTGAAATGAATTTGTGGAATATATGAATAAATTAACACAAATGGTGGCTTGGGCCATTGCCACTCTTCCTGGACCAGCCTCCTTGGTCTCCTGCTTCAGTGCCTGCATCCAGTCTGTGCCCACCTGCAGCCAGAGCCAACCTGTGCAAACCGGACTCAGGCCACCTCTCACCCCAGGAAAGCCCGGATCTGGTCCCTCTTGACCCATGTCACCTGTATTCCCTCCCCTGCAACCCAAATGCTTTTTCTTCCAGATGTCACCTCCTTCAGGTCCTTCTCGGTGGACACATCTCAGGACACTTCCCCCAGCCCTGTGCCCTATTTGAAACCACACTGCCCACCCTTGATCCCCTTCTCTGCTTTCTTTCTCCTCAGCAGCAGACCTCTGTATCTCCCCCAGATTCTCATCCAACCACCTGGCCTCGGCCTGGCACACAGTAGGTACCCTGTGCAGATCTGCACTACGGACGGACTGAGTGAATGATCCATCACCTCCCTCCCAGAACTTGGATTCAACCAGGCGTATAAGTTGCAGAACTTGGACTTGCAGGTCTAGGGGCTTCCAGTCTCAGTGCTGCCATTTCCTGTGTGACTGCAGGCTGCTATCTGCACCTTCCTGAGCCTCAGTTTACTCTGCTATATAATGGGAATAGCAACTGCACCCACCTCACAGGGTTACCTGGAGGGAAAAAAAGCGACACATAAAGCCCAGCATATAGAGACACTTTGGTTGGTTGGACTCTTCTCCCTCTTTCAGGAGCAAGCAGATAAGGGGCCCTACCACCATCCTGGCCCCTCTACCCAACATGCTGCGTGGACCCTGACAGTGCCTCCCATGCACCTAGGCTGGCGGCGGGAGCCTCCGTCATTCGCTGTCTACGCATGCTCTGCACCTACCCTGCACCTGGCACTGGGGACACACGGGGACACATGGGGACACACGGCGGGGTGGGGGAACACACAGATCCCTCTGTAGGGACAGTGTGCCCGCTGAGGGACCCAGTCAATCAGTAAGAAAGCATATAATGAGGTTGATGACCTCAGACACTGGCCAGTGCTCCTGAGCAGCACTGCTCAGCATAGCCCCACATTGGCAGCACCAGCAGCACCGGAAGTTGTTGGAAATGCAGATTCCAGGACCCTGTCCTAAGCTCCAGAATCAGAAACCAGGGTGGGCCCCGGGAGATTCTGCTACACGCTCACAGGCAAGGACCACAGAGACACAGGATGGGACAACTAGGAGCAGGGATGGTTTCTTTGGTGAGAGAGTCTGCAGAGGCCTTGCTGGGCAAGGCTGTGGTCATGAGGGCAAAGAGCAGATCTGGCAGAGTGGGAGAACGGGAGAAGACAGTTCTAGGTGCAGGAACATCAAGTTCAGGCACAGGACTGAGCTTGGCAAGTCTGAGGAAGAGTGAGGCGGCCAGCAGGCCTGGGGGAGGCGGGGAGGGCCCAGGCCAGAGGCCTGTGAACCCTGGTCAGGAGTTTGTGGGGTTCACCCTGAGGGTACTGGCGAATGGTGAAGGGCTCTGAGGAGGGGGTGATCATGCCACTCCCACTGCCCCAATCTTCTCACCTTTGGCCTGAAACACAGTGTTGAGAGCCACAGCCCTGCCCTACTCTCCCAAAGCCAAGGTCTAGAGGCAGGGTGCCTGGGACAGGTTCAAGACACACAAACAGGGCAAGGCCCACACCCCAGTTCTTGCTCCTGGGCAGGACAATGAGGAAGTGCCCAAGGGCAGGCCCAGCCCAGGGTCTGCCCAACCAAGCTGGCAGTAGAGAGTGAAGGGAGGAGCCCAAGCAGCTAGAGGACCGTTACAGGGGCGGGGACTGGGAAGTGTGGGTTTTTGCCACTGCAGACGCTTCACCTCAGACTTCCGGGGCTGCCCGAAGATGCCTCTGGTCAGAGTGGGGCAATGCATACCCAGGTATGCCGAAAACTCAGGAGGGTCACACACAGCTAGTGTCCTGGGCAAACTGCAAAGTCTGCCATATGCACACACACCCACACACACACACAATGGTAGTGTCACAGATATGCTATAGTCACGCACAGAGCCAGGGTCCCAGAATAATTACAAACACACACAACCGCAGCATTATAAATATGCTACAGCAACACACAAAGTTCTGGAAAAGACACACACGCACACGCACACGCACACGCACACACACATAGGCTTGCACATACACAGCACTGCAGAGGGCTCAGAAGCACATCGAAAACCACAGAAAGTCCCAGATAAAGGACATTCACACACAGCCTCAAGAAAATGTCAGGAAAGCATCAAAGGCAAAAACCTTTCCACAATCACAAAGAAAGCTACGTGGCGACAATCCCGGGGCCCCCAGCTAACACACACAGTCCTAGGTAAATGAAGTCATTTGGTCAGCCTGCACTTCCTGCCCTCATGGTCTCACTGTCTGTCAGGAAAGACAAAGCAAAGGCCAGTTTTAAAGTGACAAGGGATGGAATGGTCAGCTGCTGTTGATACAGCAGAGAACCTTGACACTCACACACCATGAAGGACTCCGGAGTAATACTGTCCAGGGGGCTGTGGGCACACCTTGACAACACAGTGGCCAGATACTGAATTAATGTGTAGGACATGCTTTACAAACCAAGGGGGACAACATCAGTTATCACGGTTACTGCCTCCAGAGAGTCAAGGTTACACCCAAGGTCTCAGGAAGGAAGGTCCCAGGCCCACAGAGAACCACCAGGGGTCTCTCTCTCTCTCCTCACACAGACAAAGCCACAAAGGGTCTCAGCGGCACACAGAAAACCTCACTCAATATACAACAATGTCACAAATGGATACGTATGGAAAGTCATCCAAACATAGAACTGTAAATTACAGGCACAAACAGAGGGTCACATCGACAGAAACAGATCTTCCAAACATTCAATGTCACTAGTGGACACATACTGGTAATTCATATTTGCATACAAAGCTAAATAAGAGTTGGAACACAGTAGGTCATGGTGCAACAGAGAGCCCCAGACACATGTCCACACACTAGAGTCATTATGGAACACACACTGGGAACTCTCGGTGACACTTGGAGCCACAGATGGAATTAATGGTAAATTCCTGCACAAACAACCAAGGAGGACACAGGAGCCCCAGGGCGCAGGTAAACACTCCTAAGTCCCTAGCAGGTAATTTGTATTTGCTCATGGAGTCACAGATGGAATGAAAACACATCACACGCTGTACAGCCAATGGTGGGTCCCAGCTGCAGGTGAAAAGCCCCAGACACACACGACACAGTCACAATCAGACCCACACAGGTAACTTGTGGGAGCACCCAGGGCCACAGACGGAATTTATGGTGAATTACACACACAGATACCACCGAAAAGGATCACAGCTGCTTCACACGCGCCAAGAGCCCAGACAGACCTGCAGACACTTGGGAGACGCAGTTCAGATGGGAAACATCGTCGCACACGGTGGCCAGACCCCGGGAGGAGCTGAATTCCGCGCCCACTTGGCCCCAGCGGATCTCGGCGCTGGGTCCTCGGGCCACGCAGAAGCCCCCACCCCAGCGGCAGCCGAGGACGGTGGGAGGGGGCGCGCCCAGGGGACCCTGTCCCGGGCCTGCCGGGGCTGCGCGGCCTGTGGGCCCGGCTGGCGGGGACTGGCCACGGTCCTCCCTCCTTCCCGGGCCCACAGACCCGGCCGGCCTCGCGCCAGCCCCTGGCCCCCGAGGGCCGAGCCAGTGCAGGCCTGGGGACCCTCCCCGCAAGAAGGGCCCCGGGCCCCCCGCAGAACCCCGCACGCCGGCGCGGCGCGGGCCAGCAGCGGCCACCCCGACCGCGGGCCTCCCCGCCGTCGGCGCTCCATCCCCGGCTGCACCCCTTGCCCCGTGAGCCCCCCGCACCTCCGCCCCCCGCCACCGGCCAGGGTCGCCCCGGCCGGCGCCCACGTGCACCAGCTCCCGACCCGCCACCCCTGGCGGCGGCCTCCCGCTCCTCCCGGCCCGACCCCGGCCGCCCGCTCCTTACTCGAACATGGATGCGGCGCGGCGGGCGCGCCCGGCCGCAGGGCAGGGCAGGGCTGGCTGAGCGGGGCTGGCTGAGCTGGGCGACCCCGCAGGGCACCGGCCTCGCCTGCCTCGGCCGCCGCCCCCACCCGACCCCGCCGCCCGCACAAAAGGCCGGAGCCGCCGGAGGCCGCCGCGGCGTCAGCGACACCCCCTTCCTGCCCCCGCCCCGCCGCGTCACGGCGCCGCCCCCTGCCCGGGCGGGGACGGCGGGAGCGACCGCTGCGGCCTAGGAGAGGACCGAGAAGCTGGGGGAGTCCCGCTCACCCAGGGGGTCGGAAATGGGGAGGAGGACAGGGACACAGCGAGAGAAGGGGACACAGAGGCTCTGCTAAAACCGAACACCGGATGGTAACTGCCTGGGACACACTGGGCGCCCTGTCCCCTGGCACCCAGAAAAAGGTCCTCCTTCACCCCTCTCTTTAACTGACACCCATACCCCAGGGAGGACCAGGAGGGGTGGGGCGAAGGTGGCACAGAAGTGCTGGGAAGCCGAGGTGTGTAGGTGGTTTTGGGGGGAACCGAAGAGCGCGGGAAGGGGTGGGGCTCCCTTCCCCCTCCCAGTCTCCAGGACCTCGGTCTCTGGGGACTTCGCAGTCCTAGTCCTCCAGTCTGAGTCAGAAGCTTGTCCCCTCTGTCTCTTGTTAGTGCTGTGGCCCTGAGCAAGTTACCCCGGGCCTGGGCATCCCACTAACTCTGTGGTAAGGGCTTTCCCCGACAGACAGTGCTTTTAGAGATGGGAAGCCCGGCCTCTGGGTTTGGGGAAGATACTGACCTTTGGGAAGTGATTTGCAAGCCACCCAACTGCGTGCGACGTGGGTCAGGCCCTTGCTTGGAAGCCATAGCCTGCACCCATCTCTGCAAGGTGCTGTCTTTTGGTGTCCTGAATTCCTTGACCAAAAACACATAACATGAACCCCAACTCCCAGCTCCTAGGCTCAGGCCCCCAGCAGAGGGACTTGTTCCCCACCCCTCTTTAGGGTGGGCTATCCCTACCTCTTCTGAAAAAACTCCATTCTCTGATAGTAGAATGAATGGGACATTATCACCTAAGTGCATATATGATTACACAACCTGTTAACTCTACATCATGCACCACCAGATGAATGAGAATTCATACTCCATTTATGTATGATGTGTTAAAACACATTCTACTGTCAAGTATAACTAATTAGAACAAAATTTTAAAATTGTAAGATGTTAAAAAACAACAACAACAAAACATCCCTTCCCAGCCCTTAACCTTTCCCTACCTCCAACCCCCATCCAAACAAAACACAAACAACCGTGTTTCCTATATTTGTTGATGGCCAGCCCCAAACCTCTGAGTCTTCCTTCACCCCTCTCTTTAACCGACACCCACACCCTAAATATCACAAACCTTGTCAGCTCCACCTACAAACCTTATCCAGAATCTAAAATCCTCTCCCCTACTCCTACCCAGACTATCACACCAGCCTCATCCATCCCTGGTCTCCTGTTCCAGTCCAGTCCTGGCTCAGGGACACCCCAACCCCACCCCTAACATACACCTCATCCCAGGTAAAAGCCAAGAAGAGCTCAGGTTGGCCCCTATGGCCCTTGTGCTTGGCCTCTCTCACCTGTGGCTGCCTCCTCCTAGGTCTCCCTTTGGCTCATTCCCCCAGCCACCGTGACTCCCTTCTCTCTCTCTCTCTCTCTCTCTCTCTCTCTCTCTCTCTCCAGGCACCTTCCTACCCTAGGCCTCCTGCCTCTCAACCTCCTCCTGCTACCCCTTCTGCCTAGGAAAGCTCTTCCCCATTCTCCCATGGCTGCCTCTCCTCCTTTGATGTCCGGCAGGTCCTTCTTCCACCCTTTCCCGTGTCCCATTGCCCTCTTTATACATTTCTCCTTGCCTGTTTCTTCTTTTGAAATGCTTTCACACTTTTAAGTAGGGTTTATTTCCAACAGGAAAAAATTATCATGGCCATCTAGGTCTCCATCACCCATATCCAATAGATGTGGACGTTTGACCATTTTGTTTGAGATCCTTACAAAAGAAGGAGAAGACGAAATTATCTATTAAAGTTACAGCCAAAGGCCCAGCTCCCCATCCCCACCTGCTCTGCCTGGGCACCCCAAGGTGCCACCTGCCTCAAAGCCAGTGTTGGTCCTTCCCATGTGATTTCCTATCCTTTTCCCGCATCAGGATGCATCCACTAACAACATCGCCTATCATTCGGTGTCTTTGAAAAAGATACACAATCGGGCTCCTAAAGTACTGTTTTGCAACTTGCTTTTTCTCATCCCCAGTATTTCTGAGGTTTCTGCACACCGATGCACACAGCTCTACTTCATAAACTTCAGCTCTATGGAGTGTCCATTGTTGGAAGAAACCACGTTGAGTATTTCTATTCAGGTCATCATAGTTCTTTCCTTTTTTTCCCCTTGTGCCCTTGAACCTCCCAGTTCCTGTCTCCCTGGAATAGAGGTAGGATTTCTTTCCAGAAGTTTTGTTTAAACCTTTTTTTTTTTTTTTTTGGCCTGTGAGCTACAGCAGGAAATACCTCTCGCATTTGCCTCCGGCACACACTTAGGAATATATGTCATGTCACAGAAGTTGCAGGAAACCACACTGACGCTTGCTAAGCCCCATATGAGGTGTTACTTTCAATTCTATATTATTTTGGTGTGGGAACAAAGTGGGATCACAATTGACCACATTAGTTTCGTGACCCTTACGTGGGTCCTCACCCATAGTTTGAAAAACACTGAGTGTGTCAAATGGCGGGGGGCAGGGTGGGTTCCACTCTAGTCTTGCTAGGCAGTGTTCAGTTGTGCCAATGCACACTCTACTACGACTGTTTCATCATTTCCAGCCAGGTCCCTGTGGGGCCACCCTCACTAACCTGTAGTCCCCCCACCTCCACCTAGGCAACGACAGCCCACAAGGATCCCACCCTTGAACATGAGTAGAGAGAGAGGAAAAAAACCAACCCACTATCCGTTCCACTGCCCAGGTCTCACCTGTCCTGAGACAGACTTTCCAGGTCTGGGGTCCTCGGTCGCTGCAAGCGTGGGGTGGTTGGGGTGGAGGGGGGTGACTCCCCGTCACTAGATGGTGTTATGTGAATGGTGGGCACCTCCAGGAACCTCCATGACTCAGGGGCCAGGCCCTGGGATCTCTCATTTTGTGCCCGATGCTCAGCTGGAGGAACAGGAGAGTCCTGGGCACTGCCCTGGGAACCTGGGGGCACCCAGGACAGCAGGGGTAGGAGCTCAGCCATGAGGAGGCTTGTGGACAGCAATGTGGCCTGTGGGGTAGGAAAAAAAGATAGGTGAAGGGAGGAGGCCCTGTCCAACAAGCCCCTAGCACCGTCCCCTCCTGGGCCACTCAGAGAAGTGAGTTCTGGGGGGCAGGGATGTCACAGAGATCTGGGTGGGATTCTCACATCTTCCAACACTCTTCCCTCATAACCCTGAGCCTCAGTTCCTTCTTCGGGACACTAAAGGTCCTAGTTCAACATCCTCGGATGAGTGGACCGTGTCAGAGAGCTTGGTCATGCAGAGCACCCAGCCCAGGCCACCCATGAAGCCAGTGCTCAGCAAATATGTGTCCACGTCCCTGGGCTGGGAGTGTTTCTAAGTACTCACTAAAACCAGGCCCTGGGCGCTCTGTACACTCCAGGCCAAACCCCACGTCCTTTCCATATACAGGGCCAAGAAGGAACCAGGCCTGAGTGGGCCCTAGTGGCCTCAGGCCTGTGTAACGGCTGATTAGTGGGAGAGAGGGGCAGAATCCAGGATTTCCCTTCCCTGTTTGCCCAGCACTTGCCCCTCCCAAGACAAATAAGGGGAAGGTGGCTGCTTCAGCCTCCAGAGCCAGGGAGGAAGCCTGGCCAGTTCCTGCCACTGCAGTACGGTGTTGGAGGCCACTTGGGTCTGGGGAGGCTAGACAGGAGCCTGCCTGTCCTCATGGCCGAACACAGCGAAGGCTTCCTGGGATCTAACCTCCCAGGGAGCCGGGAAGGAGGGCCCGTGGAACCCCGTGAGGATTCCTCTGGGTTTGAGGAAGACGTTGACCTTTAGAGGCCAGGCCTGGACCTTACCAGGAACCCTAGAACCCCATTACCCTACCTTGTGGGCTCCTCCTTCTTCTCTCACAGGTTTCAGGCCTCTAGGATAAGGGAAGGAGACCTGGCCCTTCCTTTTATCTCCAGTCCTGGTTGGCCAGAGAGTCATGACCTTCAGGCTGGAATGGCATGTCCGGGTGGAGTCGCGTTACCCTCTGGCCAGCTGTTCCTGAGAGAAAGGGGAGAGTGGCGTGGGGGTGGGGTGCTCGTACTACAGAGGAACTGAGGAAGGCCACCTCATCTTTCCCTTCTTGACTGTCCCTTCAAGAAAGGGTCATCCTCATCCTAGGCCCTTAGTGGTCTGCCCCTGCGTTGGCCTGCAGCCCGCCACGCTGTAGCCAACAGCTTCTGCCCTCCGCTCCCCAGAACTGCGCCTCCAGGTCCAGGGACCACCCTGGTGGCCAAATCAAACACATCTGCCAGCCCTCATCTTCCTGCTTTGCTTTTAGGAGCCTTGAACCCAGGGCATCCCTCTCCCCTCTGGGAAGCTCTCAGCCTCTGTGGGCCAGGATTTCTGGGTCCCCTCCTACATCTCTGAGACCCCCATCTCACTTCAGTACAGTTCCTTCTCCTCGACCTGCCCCATAACACTGGCATTCCACATGGCTTAAGTTGGATACTTTTCTCCTCCTTTTCCATTTTTATTACATAATAAATTGACACATACAAAGGGGTATCTGCATCATGGATGTGAGTTTTTATATATAACAATAAAATGAGCCCCAAACCCTGTTCTTTGTTTGAACCCGTGACTGCCTTAGGCCACTTCCCATACCACTTTGCTTTTCTTCCAGAAGTCTTTATTACCCTTCATCTGAAAGTTAGCATTCTAATTTTTTTTTTTAACCTAAGTTGCTTAGGGTCTCATTAAATTGCTGAGGCTGACTTTGAACTTGCAATCCTCCCACCTCAGCCTCCCAAGCCGCTGGGATTACAGGCATGCTCCACCGCGCCCAGATCATTCCACTATTTCTAATAATTTTAATCACATTAGTATGTATTTCTAAATAATGTATTTTTATAAGTTTTGCTTATTTTTGAGTTTTATAAAATGAAACCATATCTGCAAGGCACAATGGTACACCCTGTAATCCCAGTGACTAGGGAGGCTGAGGCAGGAGGATCATAAATTCAAGGCCAGCCTTGGCAGCTTAGTGAGGCTCTGAGCAACTTAGTGATAACCTGTCTCAAAATACAAAATAAAAAGTGCAGGGGATGTATCTCAAGGGTTAAGCACCCCTACGTTCAATTTCAAGTACCAAAAATAAATTATTAAATCAAATGAAACATTATCACATGTCATCTTTTTAATTTTTTTTATTTGTTCTTTTTAGTCAATGCAGTAGAATGTATTTTGACATATCATACATACATGGAGTATAACTACCCATTTCTGTGGTTGTATATGATGTGGAGTTATAATGGTCATGTATTCCTATATGTACATAGGTCATGTGTCTTCTTCTAGGACTGGATTTTCTCATGCAACGTTACAGTAGTGCCCCTTATCCTCTGGGGATACATTAAAAGACCCCCAGTGGATACCTGGAACCTCTGAATCCATATTCATAATCCTATATACAAGTACCAATTTTTCAACAGTGGATCTGATAACAATTATGACTACTAAGTGACTAATGGACAGGTAACATATACAACATGGATACACTGGACAAAGCCATAATTTACATCCTGGGTAGGACAGAGAAAGACTGTGAGATTTCATCATGCTACTGGTACACGACTTAAAATTTGTGAAATGTTTATTTCTGGTATTTTCCTTTTAATATTTTTGGACTGGAGGTAACTGAAACCCTGGAAAGCAAAACCGCACATGGGAAGAGTCTAGTGTATTTCTAAGATGCATCTTGTGTGGTTACAGGTTAACTCTACTTCATCTATTTTTACTGCAGTCCAGTATTCCACTGTGAGAATGCATCACAATTAATCCATTTTTTTCCTGCCCATGGACACTGGCTTGTGTCTGGTTTTCAGCTATGAAAATGGAGCTGGCACGAGTGCTCCTGGGTGAGCCAGAGTCCCACTGATTGCCCGGCCAGCCCTGCTTCCTCTGTAGGAGTCCATCTGTGAGTACTCAGGTTGGTTTCCTATCCAGCCCTGAACTATAAACTATCTGAATTACTTTAGCCCTGTAGTAAGTATTGATATCAGTAAGTCTTATCTTCTTACTCCAGAGTCAGTTTATCAAGTTTCAAAAGGAAAAAAAAAATCCAATAATGAGAATTTGACTATTAGGCTATAACCAGAAATTGATATCTTTACAATATAAGTTGAACATCCCTAATCTGAAAATCTGAAATCCAAAATATTCCAAAATCTGAAAATTCTTGAGTACTAACAAGAGGCCACATATCTAATGGTCCAATGTACAACAAAACTTTGTTTTGTGCCCCAAATTATTTTAAAAATATATAAAATTACCTTCAGTCTATGTGGAGAAGGTATATATGAAACCATAAATAAGTTTTGTGGGCTGGGGCTGGGGCTCAGTGATAGCGCACTTGCCTGGCATGTGTGAGGCACTGGGTTCGATTCTCAGCACCACATAAAAATAAATAAAATAAAGGTCTGTCAACAACTAAAAAAATTAAAAATAAATAAATAAACAAATAAATAAATAAATAAGTTTTGTGTGTAGAATTTTGTGTTCAGAGAACACTCAGGGCTTTCTCCACGTCCTGGGGGGTCCAGGCAGCCTCTGGCCTCTCGATGGCCATCCATGAACCCCAGGCCCTAGGGTGACTATGAGAGCCACATGAATACCCTCTATGGCCTAGGTGGGGACTTTAGCATGGATCCTCAGGATGACTTGGGTGTCTCCAACACATGTGGCGCTCTGATGCTGGCGGCTTTCCCATGGGCCTAGTCCCTCTGTGCCCACTGGACAAGGCAGCCCTGTACCAGCCTTCTGTGCATGGCTCGGTGCCCATGAAGGGCCCCACAGGGCCTGCGGTAGAGATCTGGAGCCTCGGTGCCCTTGGAGAACTGCATCCACTACCTCCGTGCCACCAGGGGATGGAGGGACACTTGGTGCACCCTGTGACCTGCCGGTGCAGCCCTGGAGACCTCTTGTGGCCTGTGGTGAGCTGGTGTTCCCGGGGAGGGTCCTTCCCAGCCTGATTGCACCAGCTGGCCCAAAGCCACCTCCTGATGTCCTCCTAGGTCAAGGACACCCAAGTGAAGTCACTGTACACCCTGCTAGATAACTGTTTCCCTAAAAGTCGTCCCCCGCCACCCAAAATTTTTCAAAATTCCAAATCCAAGACTTTCCTGGTCCCAAGCAATTTGGATAAGGGATGCTCAACCTGTCCTGAATGTACTGAGTTTTCCAAAGTGCCCACATGGGGTCGCTGTCCATGTATTTTGGTTAAGTTTCCTCAAATGTGCGTGACCCTTGCCTGTCAGTCCATACTTAGGAGTGGGACCCAGCTAAATCCCCCAAACCTGTGGTTTAGCAACTGAAAGGGCAGCAGAGAATTGGAATGTTTTGCAAAATAAACAGCCAAGAGTTCTATCTAGAGATGCCCGTGGGACCTCTGATGGAGGCGTCAAGCAACATGCAGCAGAGCTCAAGCTGACCCTGGGAACCTGCAGCAGTAGGTGGAGATCACCTAGCCCCAAGTGTCTAGCTGTCCAATTTGTCCTCGCTTCACCTGGCACATCTTTTCCCTCTTCTGTCCTTGCCCAAGATTAGTACCTTCAGGTATCATCAAGGTTGACTCAAGATTCTTTCTTAGGGTTTGAATTATCGGGTGAAACTGAGCTTCCAATCAGTGTTCTCTTTGCCTTTCCTGACCTTCTGCATCAGCAGGCAGATTTTTGAGTAAAGTTCAGAGTTGAGACTACAGAAAGAAGAAAACTCATGTGAACCCAGTGATCTTGGAAACATGGGAAAGCACTTATATGTGGAAATGAAATCTCAAACAGAGCAGGGTTACCTAAGAATGTCCTCATGCTTCCCCACCCTAAATGCTCTGTGAGTTGAAAAACATCCCTTTCTATGTTAGTCAGCCTCCCATTACTGTAACAAATACCTGAGAGATTCAGTGGAGGAAGCAAAAAGGTTTATTTTGCTTCACGGTTTTGGAGGTTCCAGTGGATGATCTATAGGCCTCTTGCTTTGGATCTGTGGTGAGATGGTACAGCAA